CCTTTTTCTAATTTGTCTTCTTCATCTTCTAGTTTTCTTCCTTTTTATTAATTTTTTCTTTCACTCCGTCTACTATCTACTGATTTTCTTCTATGACTTCTCTTCTGATTATCTTTTTTTTTTCTCCAATTGGTCATTTGATTTTTTTGTTCATCGTCTTCGACCTATCCGGCTTTTTTTTTATCTTACTTGTTCACTGTATTAATTTTTGTTCATATTTTCATTGTTTTCTTATTCTTCTCCTTTTTCTTTATTTTTTTAGCTTTTCATATTCTTTGTTTTTTCCTTCTTATCTTTTATTATTTTTGACTATTTCATCTTATGTATTGTATTCATCTTATTTGACTTCTTAATTTTTTTTCATTCAGTTTTTTCTTCGTTTTTTTCTATTGATTTTCTTTGTTTTATTTGTCTACCCCATCTTCTTTGTTTTCTTTTATTGTCATTGTATTCTCTAAATTCTTATTCTTCCACATCTTTTATTCTTCTTCTTTTGGTTTTATTAGTCATTTTTATCTTCTGCTTCTTACTTTTTCTTTGTCATTTTTTTTATCCAAACTTTTTTTTCTAATTTTTGTTTGTCTTTTTCACATCTTTACTTTCTTCTATTTTTTCTTTTGCATCTTCGGGTTTTCATCTTCTTCTATTTATTTTCTTTATCTACCGTTTTTTTCTTCTTTTATTATGATAATTTGTATGAAAATAACAGCAAAATTGTTATACAAATTATGAATATAAATTAATTAATTAAGGATATTTAAAAAGATTTTATTAAAGAATAAAGAGTAATTAATCACCTAGATTGAATGAGAGAGCTTATAGCGAAAAAATTACTGTGCATATATTATATATGATATGATTTTAAATGTTTTTTTGATTAAATTCCAATTTTTAATATTTGTTTATTTTCTATTTTAAATATTTTTTGATTAAATTCTGAATTTTAATAATTTTTATTAAATTTAAATTTTTTTTTATTAAATTCCGATTTTAAATAATTTTTATTAATTTTACAATTTTTCATAATTTTTAATTAATTTACGATTTTTAATAATTTTTATTTTTAAAAAATATAAGAAGGGGTAAAAGGTAATTAGCCACCCTAAGATTAAATAAGAGAGCTTTGACTCAAAATTTTACTTTGCTTATAATATATATGATATCTTTTAAAACTTATTTATGATTGTGTACTAAAAATTTGTAATTGTTTCTCAGGTTTCAGCCACCTGACAATAATAATTGGAACTTATGTGCTGAAATTGAAACTTTGTTTTGTACTTTGTACTTGGATTGTTTAAATTGTGAGGCAGCTTCATCAATATTTCTTATTATATTTCTGCAAAATATATGTTTATGTAACAATTTGTTGCTTACACTTGAACAGATTCAGTACATACCTTAACTCCAAAACACAACCTTCTTCTCCGATATAAGTCATCTGTAATAAACAGTCTTATCAACACTACACTAGTACAGTGGATGAAATCTAATCTTAAAAGAGTGGAAAATTGATAGATCTCTTTGGCGAGGAAAAAAAACAAAATTTTGAATTCTAACTTAAATATGATTCTGGTCAAGGAACTCTTCATAAGCAGAAGATCCACTGGAAGAATCGCTTTCGTATCGATCTTCTTCCTTAGGAGACAGAGTACGCGAGAGTTGAGGCTTCTTAGAACCTGTAACATAACAAAACATAAAGAGAGTTGTTTCACTTTTCTTGTTTTTTTTTCAACTTCATCACCTTGACATCAACACCAAATAATTTTTATACCTTTAGTAGTGTTTTGATTTTGGAACTTCTTAGAGTGACGCCTGATGAGTTTCTTAGCTTTAGTAATCGTCAACTGTCTTGCAAAAGGAGAAAAGTCTGATTCATTGTCACTCCACTCCCCTGGGAAGCTCTCTTCTGTTTCTCCTCTCATAGTTCTAAGCACAAACTTCTTCGCCTTTCGCCTTTGAGTATTGAAAATACCTCTAATCGATGTGACAAATCCATCACCTGCATTGTCACCAGGACGCTTCTCCCATGCACCTGAATCTTGATCTGATCTCCCTGGCTCGTCTTTGTCTCTCAAACCAATCTGATCTTTTGGAACATGAGTTTTGTCTTTGAATTTTTTCATCTAACAAATGAACAAGAGTCAGTGTCACATCAAACCCATATACATTTTTTATTGCTGGTGTGTAAATGGTCTTACTTGCATTCCGGTTACAGACTTGAGGACTCCCCATATTATATGCTTCTTAACTCGAGAGAAGAGTCTTCTCCACGTGCCACTGAATTCGACACGATGAAACGTGTCCATCAACAGTTTCATATCGTTCACAACAAATCTTGAGCCCTCGTAAGTGATCAACAATTCCACCTATAGGCTCAAAACCAATGTTACAACGATTAAGTTTATACAACACTAACTTAGATGAGTTGATTGAAACTGACATACCTGACTTATCTTGATGGTCTGGAATTGCATAATCTTTTGAGGCCTTGATTTCTTGTCTTCCAATGACTTTTCCACCTTCTTCTCTTCGTGAACCGAACGGCCAGCCTTTGTGGTTTTTGAATCTTTAAGCTTGTTTTTTGAGGATTCACTCTGATGCTCCATGGAAGACAGAACAAGCTCATTAGCCACTGATTCAGCCACCGTCTCCTCCCATGTTCTGTCGAAAGAAGACGTTCTCCTCAGTTCTGGCCCTGAGCTACGGAGTGATCTTGACTTTGGGTTTTGATTCCTCGAACCCTGGAAACATTTCAAGAAAACACGTATGAATCTTACAAGAGATGATATGAGTGCAAGAATCACAAAGTAAGGCAGCATATGTTGAGAAAATCAATCATTTACAAAAAGAAAAACTCACCTGGCTTAGATCAGATGAAGAAAGCAATGCTGCGGCTTCTTGTGCGAATGAGCCTTTCCTGACTCGCCTTGATCCTGCGGTTGTTGACACCTTCCAAACTTCCTGGGAGACAGAATACGAGCACAGAGTCGTAAATGCTTATAAGACAAGCTGTGTCTCCCATTATCTAGCTGATTAAGAAAGAAGTAACAATGGATAAAGAACAAACCTCCCTTCTCTGAGAATGTTGCTCCTCTCCAGGGAAGATATACTCCCACATCATTGTGTACATTGTCTCTGTCAAATGGATTTTTAGAGGATAGATTTCAACCTGTCAAGCAAACACAAGAGAACTCCATTTAAGTAATAGGATATATATAACATATACTTCATTTAAACTTCTAACTTGCTGGAAAAAATTTCTAAGCTCAAGCTTCTTGACTCTTCTAGTCTCATATTATTAGTTTCCATTAGATCATACAAAATAAAGAAAGACTTGCCTGGAAAAGTTCATAAGGAGCTTGTCCGTCTTTTGGGATTCCTTGTCTTGCATCTACTTGTAACATCACTTTCCTGTATCCAATAAATATCACACTCAGATTTTATAGCCTTGAAGTTGTAAACCTTTTGGTTCTACACATAAGAGCATCTACCGATAACAAACATATTATGATTATCTATTAGTCCCCAAAGACATGTAAAAATAAGAAGTGCCTAAAAACTAGTTTAGCTGAATGTGCAAAAGAAAGGAACTCACTTGCCCCATTCCGGAGGAGGATTCCACGCAGAAAGAACAGTATCAGACTTGGCATTAGGCAAACAGTTACGCAGGACAAAGTATCTTGTTGTGAATAGGGAAATTCCAATATCTCTCAAGTCCCTGTTAAAATCATAAATCTGCAAGCAATGTGAAACATCTTTAGTAGAGCTTTCTTGCCAAGAAAGAAAGGATAGAGATGTGTATCGACCGGTCATCGCAAGTTACCAATGTCTATAGCCATCAAGGACTTACCATATTGTCTATTTCAACCTCAGCGAATGTTTTGCCATCTAAAAGCATAGACCAAACGACTTTGTTGATTTGTAAAGAAATGCGCATAGCCGAGGATGGTCTTTTGTTCTTATCTTTCTCCAACAATCTTAGCTCTGCAGCATTCTTGACAGAGATCCGCAGTGCTGTATAAGCTGTCTTCCTAGATTGTCTCACATTAATATATGCTTTTCTCAATTCCTCCACCTACAAATGAGATTACTTAGCTTACAAGGTATCATTCAATTAATATCTACTCTTTTTTTGTGTGTAGAGCTCTTTTCTCACCAATATTGACCTCCCACAAGTGATCATCCAATCGCTTTTCTTTTCGAGGTTTATGTTTCCTGAGTTACTTTCGTTCTGCGTCAACTTTCTGATATCATCGATAAGCAACATCCTATCCCTCTCTCTCTGTTCAAGTTCGATTTTCGCAAGTTCCACTTCCTCAACACCATCAGGAACCACCTCATCAATCTCCTCTTCAACTTCATCATCTTCTTCACCAGAAAGTTTCAAATTGTCGTTCTGAGGCCTGAATGTGTAGTAATAAGATATATTCATGAGGGGTTACATTTTAACCAGAAAAAAAAAGTTAATAAACTTGCATGTAAAACACTTACTTTGGTAACCTTGCAAACAAAAGATTGGACAAAACATCCAACATAACTTGAAACTGACGTGATGTCATCGATGCTGTAATATTACGAGAATTGAAAGTAAGCTCTTTCAATGGCTTCACCTGTTAGATAGCAATTCAAACATTGTTACAAAAGGAAAAAAACGAAAATTTTTCTGCAGAGATCTAATTTTTTTCCATTGAAAAGAAAAAGGTTTTACCTTTAGGTCAGGAGTCACACCTTTATGTCTGGTGTATTGAAAGTACATGTCACAAGGCGTGAAAACCCTTTCAAGAAGTGCACCAGTACGCTTTGCCTTTGGAGAGCTTCTTCTAATCTTTGGTAGCCATTGCACACCAGCTCCTGGATCAACATCTGTTGGTGCCACATGAGCTTGTACATGCTCCAACATCATCGACACTTCCATGCGTGTCCATGTCATGTCAGTGCCAGCTTTTTCCGGATTATGATCGTTCTCGCTTTGCACTGCCTTCTCAATCATGTCATACCCAACATGAACAACCGAATGAAATGATCGTGCCAAAACACGACCACTAGCAGCAGCTAGCAAAAACCTACCCTGATAGATGAAGAATAATCTTATATTAGGCATAATCTTTTTTTTTTCCAGTAATAGAATAAACTGTCCAAGAATTGCAAGAATCATACATAAACAGCATTGAAAGTAATAGTATGTTACTCCAAGGTTGATCTATACTTACATTTACGTCTTCTGAATGGAGATTGAACTGTGGCTCAATAACATTCACCATAAAATGCCGAGTTCCTTCTTCCTCTGAACCATTTGAACTGCCAGTCTTTGTGGCTCCTGAACCGATACATAAGATGGATCATAAACACAAATAAGAGGGAAAGAAGATAGTGAGGGGAGTCATCAAGAATTTACCAAGTGGGAAAGATGCAAAGTTCTCTGTTTTGATTTGTTCTGATGAAGGTGAAATAGCTTCCACAGGCTCCTTAGATTGTGAAGTGAGATTTTCATCTTGAGGAGCTTCTAATTCAGATTGCTTCTGGTTGCCTTCAAGTAGTTTCCTCTGAGCATACTGACGTGATGGAGAAGGCTTAGGGGCTTGAAATGCTTTAGACATCCCACCAACAAAAGACAAAACAGCATCTCTGTTTTCAATGTTCCACAACAGTTTGAGACCGTAAACAAAGATACGCTGACAATTGTCAGCTATCACGACATTGTACCCATCATCATCGCTCGGATCCGAATGAGAATTCTCCTCAGTCTCACTCTCTCTCTCGTTTGTAGACCTTGCATCGACTTTTTCACGATATATTTTGCCTTCTTCTTTCCACACCAACAATCTTTCAGGGTCAGCTTTAGGTGCTTGCCTCCTGATAGTGAAGTAATCAGACGAAAACAGAAACCCGTCGTCAGGAAGCTTCTCAGTATTCTCAGGAGTGACTCTATCAGTTGATCCGGATTTTGAGCTTGTTCTAGACATCTGAGCAGGCTTAGAGCAATCCTGATGATCCCTTTTCAAAAACGCTTTAGGCACATGAAAGTCTATTCCTTGATATACAGGATCAAGAGTGTCACGCTTGCAATCAAAAGTGAAAACTTGGTTGCCACGGCTAAAGCACATTTCATATTTCAGCTTGGTCATATTAAACGTCAAGCCTCTCGCAGGATTATCAGGATCAAGTGGCATATGTTTTATACAAATGGGAGCAACATCTACACGGAGCATATACTCTGTCATCACTCTGTCTAGTGATAGATTCCCTGATCTTGGGATTCTTGGAACACCGAAACGAGGCCACCGGGAAAAAGTCCGGAGCTTGTAAGGAGGAAGGTAGTTCATGTTCCAGAATCTGAACAACCATGCTAAATCATGACCACCAATGTTTATTGTAGGCTTGCACTCGGACCCAACTGAGACTTTTTGATGATCAGGTCTTAATGAGAAGTCAAAGCGTAGTGAGAGAGAAGTAGACCTGAAAGGATCATAGATTTTCTCACGAGCCTTTCCTTCAACAGGTAAAGCAAACAGATAATGATTCAAAGGGTTTCCGGACTCGCATTCCCAATCCATCCGGACTTCGAGACTGAAACGTGGAACCGCAAGAAAAGGGTAGCTTGATGGACACGGTATAGAGTTTGGATAACGTCTAGCTAGGTTTTCGAAACTGCTCATGAAGATCTTTATGTTCTCGGCTGAGACGTGGAGACGACCGTCTGATTGTTGAATTTCCACGGATGCAGAGGTCATCTCAAGCTTGTCAAGCTTTTCATAAGGGTCTGGAGTAGCAAGAACGATCCACTTTGTCTCAGAGAATGACAATGTTATATTCCCATGGATGTAGTTTCTCATTTCATCCCACCATGGTAAGCTTTTCTCCTTTTTAGGAGGTGGGATAAGGCCAGGACCCTTGAGACTGAGATTAGCTCTACGAAGAGCCACGGTGAAGGCATAGCTTATATCAGCAAGCACTGGCTCGTATCCAACTCCAAAGGAGACCTCTCCTTTCTGGAAGTTTATTGGTAACTCCATGTATGTTTTCATTGCAGGTGTTGTTCCACTAGCTGATCTAAGCATCTGCACTTTCCTCCATCTTCCTATGTACACATCATGGACTATTTGTGGCTGAAAAGCTGTTGCCTATGTCAAAAACAAGAAGAAAAAACAAAGATTAGGAACTTAGGAATATAAGAATCAAGAACCTAAAAGGGAAATGATATTGGACTTATGTTACCTGCTGAGCCAAGACAAGACGGCCTTCGGATTTACCTAAAGTTGTTGAGAGAAGAGGATATGTGTAATCTCTTATTTGAACAGCAAGAGTTCCAGTGTTTAACCGGAGATTGCATCCATACATCCGCGAGAAAGGTATGTCTTTTTCTTCACATACAGGATCAAGATTCTTAACTATTTCTATCATCCCAGCTTCACCTCCAACAATAGCTGTAAAACTTAGATCCAGATCAGTAACAGATACAGAGAGAAGAGATTTCCTAGAAGTGCTCATCTTAAAACCAGCCTGAAACCCTTCTTTACATGCACCTGAACCCTCTGAAGCTCTTAAACTTTGACAAGACCTGTAATACGAATCAAACGATTGTTTATGTAACTTTTCATTCATCGTTTTGATAATCTCAGGATCTTGCACGTCGATTTCTTCTCCTTCGAAAGAAATCTTCTTCTCGCAGCTATCTGACTCATCTCCCACGGACTTAGGAGCCTGGTTTCCACTAGAAACCAATTCATCAAGAAACTTGGACCTCACGGCTAACTCATACGCTTCTTTCTTCATAAGATGATAATGCTCATCAAGCCAGCCTTGGATTGGTTCTTCCTCTATATCAAATATCAACTTCTGGATGCAAAATCTTACACGTCCAAACTTCTTCGACCCGGGTTTTTTGCTTGATGTTGAAGAGCTTTCCTTTTTATCAGGAAGAATGAGTCTGGTTTTGGCTTTGGTTACAAGCTTCAAAGCCCTAATCATTTCTTCAACAGCATCATCTATAGCACGGAGTTGTAGCCTGAAAGGCATACATATATTTATGTCAAGTCCTTGAACTACCCAATCCCATGGAGTTGCTGCGTTTGATGAAGTCGAAGACATGCTCGGTATTCGTGAAATCTGTACCCTACTACTTTTGAATATCCTACAACCACAAAAACCTAGCATAAACCCTTCCAAGAGCACACCAATACGCACATTCTCCGAGAAAATTGACTGAATTTGCAACTCAGCCTCCACACCATCCCCTGCTTCAGCAGATATGCTTAACATCTCAACATCAACAGCAAATATAGATTCTTTCTTCTTTTGCTTATCAACAGAAACCGAAGAAGTAGCAGTTTTTTCTTCAGGAGCTTCTTGGTTTCTGTTACCTTGTTGCTTAAGTTTCTGAGTTAAGACCAGTGACTTCAAACGCAAGGCAAGCTCAACCATTGATATATGCACATCAGGCTCCCATCTAACGACAATATTAGAGGCACTGAAGAGAGAACAGATTGCAATTTCTTTACCATTACGACGTACAAACTTTGCGTTTTGTATGTCGCAAAGTGTCACTCTTGAAACCGGGTGTGGCTCCTCCAAGAACTCCTGGTAAACCGATTTCGCGTTTTCGAACTCTACCTGTGACTGAATCTCCTTGTTTAGAGTAAAACCGAACTTAAGTAACTCAAAGGAGACTATGTACTTCAACTTCTCATGTTCCTTGGACAAGTCAGACATAATGCTGGCGGTTCGTGGCGAGCCATCAGCCGAGACACTGATCACAACTCTTCCACCTTGTGAACCGTAATTGACACGTTTAGGATCTTCAATGACTGTATTGTCTAAGCTTGAATCTCCAGAGAAGTTCAAAGAGAAACGTTCAACATTGAGTTTCAAGAGCTGAGTTCCTTTGCTCGATGATGGCTTCTTCGGTTTCTGTGCACCTTTGTCTTGCTTGCTACCACCGGTTAAGCTTTTGACGTAAGCTTGAATCGACATTGCGTTTACGACAAGCGCTTCGAAGCTCTTGAAAGAAAACAAAACACCGACTTCTGATACGTCAACCACTATTGTTTGTTTACCTTTAGAACCATCATCCTCATTGTTCTTGCCACATTCCAATCTGACTTTTCTTACATTGATTAATGAACCTGAAGTTGACTCCAAACCAAAGAGACTTTCTTTCAAACTTCCACCATGTTCATCAACCATGCATAAACTCAGCTCATTGAGCTCCATTTGCACGCATGTTCCTTTACTTGACATATTATTTGCAGTGACCTGTAATGAATCTGAGCAGCACTGCAAAACACATTCAGTTATTTAAAATCAGTTTTCAAGATTCTTGATAAGCCTTGTTTAATGCAAACAAGATCGCAATACTTACTTGGTATATAGGAGAACTGTCGAGATTGTATAGCATGACCGTCACATTGGGGATTGATGTGACACATTTCCATACAACAGCCTTAAAACCACTAGATTCTGATTTAGCAATGTTAGTTTTTTCTTCTTTCAGAACCAATTTTTTCTTTCTAGAGAAGTGCAAACGCAACAACGGCTCGAATCTTGTCATTACAATGTTGCAGATTACACCTCCCAGCTTAATCTCAACCTCAGCTCTAACAGGGAAAGATTCCTAAGAGCAACACCAAGATCAGGTCAATACATCAAAGTCATGAAATCTGAGGATACAAACATTGTATTGTATGTAATTCAGAGGACTCACTTGCACTGGACAATAGACCTTGGAGAGAACTTCAATTTTTGTCATCTCCAAGACAGAAATTTCAGATTCTCTAATAAGCTGAAATGAATATGAAGTTTAAAGGCAGCATTAGAAGATGGTACATCAGAAAAACGAAAGTTTCAATGGACTGTTACTAAGAAAACTTTCTCATTTAACATTACATGCATCTCCCGGAGTTCCATGACAACATCAAGACATGTTTCTTCCTTGCCAGCTTCACCGGACTGAGATTTAGCACTTCTCAAGTGAAACCCTGTCATGCTGTTCGCGATAGAAAAATCATGTTCTTGATGCACAAGTCTGATATCAAGCTTTGACAAATCAAATGATACCTACCACATAAAGTCAAAGACAAGGGTAAGAACTTTAGCTAATGAAAATTGACTATACACCATATGCACTCACACCTCTCTAGTGGACTGTGGAAGCATTTAATAATCTTACATGGTTGCTAATTGTAGCTTTAAAAAATTTAATTTTAAGCAATGTTAAAAAAACTGGTACTTGCGGTTACCTAAAGCTTAAGAAAAAAAAAGTGTCTCACTTTCTCAGGGAATGTCGAAGCATGCTTTGCAACTAAAACATTCACTGGTTGCTTTGGAGGTTTTTCTGAAGCTGTGTAACTAGAACTTGATCCAATCACTTCACCAGTGGAAGTAGCATTCGTTGGGGATTTTCTTTTCAACAACATCTTCTCATTGAGGTTAAATACAGTATCCGCTAGATCTACTTCGACGTTCTTTATACTTGAACTTGATTGTCTGCTCCAAGAAGATCACAAAATCGCAGCCATGAATACCAAAATATACATGTAAACGGGGCTTAATAGTTACTATAGGTAAGAGAAGAACACGTTAGTAATGTCGAAAGTATGTAAAGCAAAAAGTACCTGTTATGACCAAATTCGCAGGAGAAAGAAAATTTCTCGCAATGCAAAGAAGAAGAAGAAGAAGAAGAAGAGGAGCCCTCTGCGATTTCGGAAGATGGTTGCTTAGCGAGCAAAATGTCACTGTTCATGTCAGTTGAATGAGTGGAAATAACATGTGGTTCACCAATCTGTACAAATATCGGCAAGAGGTACAGTTTGATGAAAAAACTAGCTGATCCTCTGTCCTTGGATAAATCAAGCTCAAGCTCCTTGATTTCTGCTCTAGCTTTAGGTGTCTGCAGTTATTTGCACGAGGATATAAGAACATGACCAGTACAAGACAGATGGTTTACTATCATTCAAAAAGGCCTAATTTTGTTACACCTAGTCATTTTAACAAAGTATATCTTCTACAAAGAATATGTTAACATAAGCACAGAATGCTAATATATCTTGCCTTATGATCAATATGTTACTAGTTTATATTCTAATAGCAAGTGAATAAGATTACATCAAAATTAACTAAGAACATTGATAGTAGCATCACTATTAATCATGGTGATATAACTAGTTCAACAAGACAAAATGAAACAGAAAAGAGAGCTGGATGCATCAATTTACCTGCACAACCAAATTTGTCATAGAAACCGAAAAGAATCTACCGATATTAGCGAGCAGCATCAACTTCCCATTGCCACCAGAGCGTGGTTTGCGAGTTTTGGATTTGCGTTTTCTCGAGTTGGAAGGCGGTCTAGTTACAATTTTGAGGTCACATATAGAGAATATCACTTTAGGATCCTGGATAAAAGCCTTTGCACAAAGCTCAACCAGAGATTGGCTTAGACTGGCTTTAAATTCTCCAACGAATATAGATTCAATAGAACCCTGTAAATAACAAGAATTACATAGACTCTGAATAGTTAAAACCCTCAAGAGAGATCAAGGAACCAAACTGATTTTTGGACTTCAAGTTACAAAACAAAGGGACATACAACACACCTTGTTGAAATGCAAGACAACATCTTTCAAGCAATTCCATCCATCTAACTGAAAACCGAGAGTTATTCCGGCGAATCGCCGGAGAATCCAAGGCAGTGACCTATTTAGAAGTTGAGGTTCCAAAAAGGTCAAAACTCAACTAAAATGATTGTAGAACATAATATGCAAACTAGTAAACTTGCTATTTCAAAAGTCTGGCAACTTGGCACCTAATCCTCATTGTTCTACCAATTATATATTCCAAAACTTTTGTTGCAACGATTACACTCAAATCAGAAAGGTGCAAAACGGTGAAAATGATAATAAAAAAAAAATCTAAAATTCTTCACTGAAAAGAGAGCACATACTTGAAGAAAACCCAAACGACGGAGACGAATACAGCGATCACGGTGGCCAAGATAAGCATGATTCCAATGATGTTTTAGTTTTTTTCAGCTTCGTCTTTGTCTTGTCCTAAAATATCATAAGCCTAAACCCAAATTCTCGAACACAGAACAACAGATCTGCAATTAATCTGAAAAAGACAAACAATTTTGAAAATTTCTATATAAAAGCTTCTAGATATTGGGATTCCGACCATTGAAATTCTCTCTACTGTTACAACATGTTACTAAATGCTGCTATTAAATTCCGGTTCTTTCTTATTTTAGAATCTATCCAAACCCAGAAAATCATCACCCCCCCTGTGAAAGAAAACGAAATGAATCCCCAATCTCCAGAGAGAGAGAGAGAAGAAGAAGAAGAAAGAGTCAAAACAACGAAAAAACGTAAATTTGAGGTTACAAAATTCTCCAAAAAAGATAATAATATTATTAACTATCCAACGACACTGCACGTCGTAGTCTTTAGATCTTCTTCTTACAAACGCGCACGTGTGACGTGTCACCGAGGATGTTGGAGACTGTTGACTTTTTCCAATTTCCCCCACTTTGTATTTTCCGTTTATAATGATCATAATCTAAACTTTAGTGTCATTAATTAAATCCCAATTAGCTACAAGGCCCAACAAAAACCCACAAGCAAGTTCGATTCTATGTAATTTGATGTCATTCGATTTTTGGCAATAGAAACGTTTGCCGTTTTTATTCCTCAGATCCATCACTCTTTTCTCGTCTAAAATCAAAAAACGACACTACGTTTAACCAGTTGAATATATATAGAGCGTTAAAGAACGCAAACGCGGCTAAATCTCATCCCTCTCTTCTCCCCAACAACAGAGAGAACTTTCTCTATCTGCGATTCCAAGAATCGATCGACGCTTCTGGGTTTTCTCTCCGCCATGGAAAGAGAGAGAGCGCAGCTTACTCCTGAAATCATAGGAAGATTTCTCTACTACATTATTCGATCCTCTTTGAATCGCCATGAAAGCAGTGGAATCATCTCTAACAGAGACGCTCCTGGGTTTCTCTCCTCCATGGAAATAGAGAGAGTGAAGCTTGCAAAAGACATCATAAGAAGATTTATCCACCACATTATTCGACCCTCTTCGAATCGCAATGAAAGCAGAGGAGAAATCATCTCTAACAGCGACGCTTCTTCTGGGTTACTCTCCGCCATGGAAGGAGAGAGAGCGAAGCTTGCAAAAGACATCCTAAGAGGCTTTCTCCACCACATTATTCGATCCTCTTCGAATCGCAATGAAATCAGACGAATCATCTCTAACGGCGAAGCAATCGTCAGAAGACTCGGAACAACATCATCGTCGTCGTCGTCGCTTAGGGTTACGAAACGGAAGAAGATGATTTCAGATGGCTCAGATCTGCTTCCAATCGATCTCGTAATCGAGATATTCATACGATTACCCGTCAAAACCCTAGCGAGATTCCTCTGTTTGTCGAAGATCTGGAAATCCACAATCCGCAGCCGATATTTCAAGAAATTGTACATCGCCGAGTCATCGTCTTCTTCGAATCGTCATCGACCAAGAAGTCTCATTTTCTCCCTAAGGCGTGATGGCCACGAATGCTTCTACTTCTCCTCGCTTCAAACCAAGAACCCATCAGGTGAAGCTACTTACCATTTGAGTCATCCTACGAACAAGTTCACAATCAATTCTTCATCTATCCACGGTTTTATCTGCTATGGAACTGCTTCTAAAGCCAGGCTATACAACACTATCAAGAGACGATCCATTGCTCTGCCCATGGTCGATTCTAAGAAGAAGCTTTTGCATCAGTTCTTGGGTTACGATCCCATCGATGGTGTTTACAAATTGCTGTGTATGACCACTGGTAAGAAAGCTGTAGCTAAAGAGATTCAGGTTCTGACTCTGGGAAAGGAGACATCTTGGAGAAAGATTGAGACTTGTGCTTTTGTTCACTCTCCTCATTTTCCTCAGATATGTATAGATGGGGTTTTATACTATGGAGCTTACTATTGGGAAGGTCGTAAAGAACGTGGAGTGGTTAGTTTCGATGTTCGATCTGAAAGTTTCCATCTTGTCAAAGCACCAAAAGGGATTGGTATGAAGTTTACGAAGATGACAAGGTTCAATGGGAAGCTTGCACTCATGTACACTGGACATCGTAGAATCGAGTTATGGGTTTTGGTGGATGCTGCAAAACATGAATGGTGCAACGAGAGTTTCCCTATGCCTAGAATAACTGGTTGTAGAGGTTCGTTTGAAGCGTTTTGTGCCATTGATGAGACTGGAGAGTTTGTTTTGGCACCAAGAGAGTTTACGGAAACGCCGTTTTGCGTTGTGTATTATCATCCGATGAGGGGAAGCGTGAGAAAAGTCGACTTTCAAGGGATCACAGAACAGGTGCCTCCACCAAGTTGGGGTCTGTGTACACGGAATTGGCGTACAATGTCTATCTTCCCTAATCAGGTTGAGAATCTCTTGTTTCTCTAAGAGTGAGTGTGGTTTTCAGACCAATCTTCTCCACTGCAATGCTTTTCTATTTTGATTGTAGTTGAGTTTCATTCTAGTTAGGTTGGTAGGAGGTTTCATGATCATGGTTTTTAGTGTTCATGTACACTCTCTTTCTTTTTTTTGAACTGGTCTCATCTTCCTTAAATGTAGAGGTCTCTTGTAAATTCTTTCTCATGATTCACATATCTTGTAAATGTCCCATCCCATTTGATGGAGATTAACATTTTGGAAGATACAATGTTTTGAATTGAGTTGGTTGGATTTGTGTAGGAAATGGTCTTACATCGGTTAGCTTTTGGTCAATTCGGTTGAGAAGTCTCAAATTATGGAAAAAGTATAAATAAGACATTGGATTTTGTGAGCTTGATCTCTGGTATGAGCTTTTAGATCGAACAATATGGTAACATCATAACATCTAATACGGCTCTGATGGCAAATTCAAGCCATACTCTAATTACAATTAATTGAAAGGTCTTAAATTATTTGTGGGAATGTTGTCTGGAATGTTGGGATGTTGATTTGTGGGAAGTTTAGGATATTCATGGGTTAAGTATTGGGTTGGGCAAAGAAGGTATTTGTGAGCTTGGTAATGGTGGAAACGCCGTGGGTTGAGGAAGAGAAGAAGGAGGCAATGGTGGCATTGTAGTGCTATATTGGAGAATATGGTGACGAGGAGCTGAGAGACCGGTGAAAAGGCTTGTGAATTAATGTCAGTGCAATGACAAGGAGGGACGATAATGATAATCAGTGTGCCATTTTGGGGATTTAGCCATTTAGGGTTTTGGTTGTTAATTACTAGTATAGAGAGTTGTGATTATGAAGGTTTTTGTGCGTATATTTTATAGAGTAGCTAACTAGGGTTTGGGGTTATAAATGAGAATTAGGTGACGGGAAGTTTGAAGAGTTTCATTGATTATAACTTTCTAAGTGCAACTTGCTAACAGTTGCTTGTTTCACAAGAAAGATGGAAGCAACAGTCAGAAAAAAAAAATTCATAATACTGAGAAAAAGGAAACATCACTCGCACATATATATTTACTTTTTAATTTGTTTTTTTTTTGTCGTTATACATGATTCCTTTTATTTTTGGTATTTACTCTCTACTTTCCTTAATTGGAGTGGAAGATGAAAAACTCAAACCTTATATATAAATAAAACCTTGAACCCTCTCCACATTATTTCTCACAATCACTCGATTATATTAGCAAAAAATCAGAAAACAACAAAGCCATATATGGCGATAATATTAAGACATCGTTACATTGTCTCTGACGTTTTTGCTGTACCGTTTCACACAAAACAAGGAATCGGGTTTCACTACTTCTCACGTAACTCTGTTTCACACGTTCATAAAAAGGTTCCAATCGCCGGTTTGAAACGTTTTCGTTACCCACAAAAATTTCCTTTTAAACCTTCAAAACCGATATCGCAAACTAAACCGGAGCTGGTTCATGAGAAGACGTTTCAAGCTCCGAGCACGATCAAGCGACAGAATCCAAAGAGAGAACTGTTTGCTGGTTCGGTCACAATGGGTGCTGCTCCATCGCCGAGACACGTCCCGGTTCCAATGTTTTGCATTAAAGAGAATATTAATTAATGCAAACGACTTGAGTTAGAAGAAAGACGAATCTTTCAAGATTTTTGCTTAGTATTGTGAAGGAATTTGTATTGTTTGTTTGTGGCAAATCTTTTTACGTTAGTGTAGTCATGTGCAACTACTGTAATTGAGAAAGATCCACTAATAATTAACACTAATTTCTTCTTTTCCTGTTTCTGAGATCATCAATATGTGTTCATGAGATTGTATAATTGGCAAGACATCAAACTTTAGCAACCACGATTATATACTTTTGAAAAGTTTATAAAATTAAAACTTTAATGACTAAAGATTCAGATTAAAAATTTACTAAAATCGATCAAGATTCAGATAAATTGTTGCTACTGAGCTTCAAATCTTCGAATGTGGGCCGGATTTTGTATTTTATATTTATCAAATCACAATTTATCAACGACGGCGAAGAAGACTGGATTTTGGACGAAGTTGCTTCACGGGCACGGCAAAGAGTTTATTAAATGGCCAAATTTAGGTTTTTTTTTTTTCTGGAGTTTTTTGTTGTTGTTGTATACACTACAGTTAAAGAAGAAAGGTCAAATTGAGGAAGATAATGAACGTAGATTTTTTATTTTATATGGAAACATAGATTGGTTTTACAAAAGCTCATACACATGTTTCCATTTTTCTGTATACAAACAAATAAGGAAATATAATTGTTCCTTAATTGGACTCCAAGCAATAAATTAAACCTTATAAATATAAACTCTCTCTCCCTTATTGTCATTCTATCTTTATTCTCTGATCGATTCATCAAATTTCACAGCAAAATATGTCGCTTGTGTTACAAGTTACCTCGTCAGAAACGTTTTTGCCATATCAATTCATACAAAACACGGAATCGTTTTCCATTATTTCTCTCGTGTCTCCTTTTTACATGTTCCTCAAAAGGTTTCTCTCTCGGGTTTGAAGCGTTTCTACAAACCACAAGAAGTTCCTTTTAAACCTTCAGAACCGTGGTGGCAATCTAAACCGGATATGGTTAATGAGAACCCGCTTCAAGCTCCTAGCACGATCAAGACTGTACCGCCGCAGAATCAAGAGCGAGAATTATCTGATGGTTCAATCACAATGGCTGCTGCTCCATCGCCAAGGCACTTGCCGATTCCAATGTTTTGCGTTAGAGAGAAGATCAAGGAGTCTTTAAAGCTAACGGCTTGAATGAGATTGACGAAGACGAAGAGTGAAAGAGAGTTTTAGGTTTAGTTCTGTTAGGTCAATTATGATGATATTTGTTTGTGGCAAAACCTTTGTTAAGTGCTTAGCATCCTTTCTTAGTAGCCAAGAAATCTTCAATGTACTAGAGTCACAACAAGTAGTAAATAATTGATTTTCTTTTACCTGATATTTTGTTTCATAAACTTTTAGTGTTTGAGGTTATCAAGATCTGTTCACTAAAAAAAAACACATAGACAAAAGTTTAATTAATGTCGACATTACACAATTATACTTTCAAAAGTTAACAAAATCCAATTCTACATCAAATCATGATTAACTACATACTAGTCTACGAGTTGTTGTATTGCTTCTAAGGAATGTAGTGACAGAGAGAGTGTAGGCAACAATAACAGCGACGATACAAACTCCAATGTAAGTACAAAGAGTGGTTGCACATACATACAGATACCTGTTCCCATTGTTCACCAACACAATCAACAACAACAACAACAAAAGAGATTTGGTTAAGGGTGTTCAATCAGATAAACAAAAAGACAGAATCAAAGACTTACTTGGGAGAGAAGACGCTCCACACAAAAAGGTGATTCCTCATGAGTAGCAGGACCACAGTGTATGCCGTCAAGAGTATTGAATTGATGCAGAGAGGAACAAGGCAAGGGAACCCGAGCGTTAGCTTCAAGAGTTGTCCTAGATCATTGGCGCGGTGAGCCATTATTGTTGAGTGTGAGTGGTTTCTTAGCTTTGCACCAATGTACATCACCAAGGATAAAAGAAACAACAGGGGAGATGCGTAGGTGATCATGAACATCAAAATCCCAGAAAGTATTGTCGAATGACTAGAGATTCCCTAATAAAATGGGTTTGGTTAAATGTGTCAGTGTTTTTGAGTCGAGACTAGAGCAATTTAGATAAATTAATCAAAAAACAGGGGAAGCACGGGGCTTACAATAAAAGCACCAGCAACATCGATGGTTGCTAAAGTATTGCTGTTTCCAAGAGCAAAGTGACCTGCCATTCCCATGTAGTAGAGTGCAGCAATCTACAAAAAAAAAGAAGAAAGCCCAAACCTTTAAAGCTTAAATTGATGAGCTTGTTGAGGTATGAATCATAGACAACTAACCTCAACCCATTCTTTGACCTGCAAATCTTTAGAAGAGAGACCTGTAATTGCTAGGATTTGGATCAGCAGCAAAAGTATGGGCCCCGAGTTGATCGGTTGTTGTAGAAGTAGCTGCAGAAGACACCAGCATAGTATGTATACAGCGCCAATCAAATACAAGCAATCACCTGCTTCAGCTAGAAAGGACTTGTCTTTGATTAGCATACACCATGGCAAAACTGAAGCAGCTCCAATGGCGGATAGAGAAAGTATCAAATAGATAAGTTTTGCTATGACAGTGGCTCCATAATCGGTTGACACTTCAAACATATCATCCCCATATCTCCCGGCATGCAGCAAGACTAGGAACCCACAAGTTGAGGAACTAAATGTTAAGATGCGGACAGTTTTTCTCTTAGATCCTGTTCGAAAGAGAGTGAACATTCCTAGGCCAATAACAAGGAAGTTTGAGATTAGCTGAATCCATTTGACATAACCACTACCAACTTGCTCTAGCCATTTAGAAATATCAGGAAGGCAAGTCCAGTTCACGCCCCCTTGATGCCAACCTCTCAGTAGCCTACCAGAGATAAGAAGCGAGAAGATAGAACCGACTTTATAGTCTCCGAGTATGTTCAGACCCTTGGAAAAACTGAATGACTTTATTGTCTTGAGAAGTAGCAGAAAGTAGAATGTCGATACCATAAATTGCCATATGTAATGCTCTTCTTCCACCATTGAACTAGATCCCATACTTATAACGAGGATCAAAAGAACAGCCAAAATGAACCCCTCTTCCAAACTCAATAGATTACTCAAACTGCAGATTCGATCCTTGGAATCATTATAAACCTCTTTGAATAGGGATAGAAAGACAGTGACACAGACGATGCATGAAATAAGCATGGCACTCACCCCAAGACCGAGTAAGTAAACTGGTTTCTGCAAATATAGAACAGTTTTGTTATAATTAGAGAATACTAAAGATTTCTACTAGACTTGGAAACTAGTGACGATTGGGAATCTGTCATATTTCCAAAATACACATTCATAGAACTCTAAGAAAATATGTCAAACATACTTCAGTGGTTTTGCTTGCTAACCACTCACTTGCAGGTTTCAAGAAGGCGTTATATGCATTTAAAGCTCTGCTGAAGTCTTCCACGGCACTAGACCTATTAACATGAAAGGCATCTTTGGAGTTAGTTTTAAGGAATTCAAAGTCAGGAGGAGCACTGCAAGTAGAATTCTTATACAAATCACGCACTCTGTCAATTTCTTGGACTTCCAAATGCCATGGAGAACAGCAGCGTTCCTAAACAAGCAAATAAGTTGTTTCTCTTTATCCCCAGAGCATTCACTAATATCCGAACCAAGACCCTCACAAGTTCCATCAAGGAAGCAATTGCAGGAGAAGCCTTCAAACAAGGAACTTGGTAACTGTGCTTGCATTAGTCTAAGTAACTGCCAGGAATTCAGTTCTAGTGCTCGTAGTTTCTCATAATCTGAAATGTTCAGACATAGTGAGGAAACAAAAGTTAAATGCATCTCCACAGGTTCGAACTGAAAAATGCGAGAGGTAAAAAGTGGTTAAAACCTCTTAAAGAATTAAGTGTTCCTGGGACAAGGACTCCAACGTTATTCTTTGGGATAGGCACACCAAACAGAAGAGCTAAAGTTGGCGCCAAATCTACCTACATCACAATTATTCCGTTGGTTTCATATCATGCATAACTCATTATCATCAATACTCTTTCCAAACAGAGGATAATGCTTGACTGATATGAAAAGTGATGAAAGATATCACGAAAGTTGCAATGACTGTTCTACCTGGAAAGCTAAATTATTGGTAGCTGCAGCATAGTCAGAAATATTGCTACTCAAGCCAATAAAGAGCATCAAGGAGTCAGTTTCTTCATATGAAGATCCTCCGTGATTTCCATTCTCAGTCATGCCATGATCACTGACTACTATCTGTATATGAAACCCAAATAAGATAACTCTGACATACGAAAGCCAGATGGACCATCAAACACGAAAATTACTCACCAAAAGGGTCTGTCCTTGATCATGGCTACGGTCATCAATGGCTCTTAAATGCATTGTTCTAACTATATCATCCATTTCTTGAAGTTTTGAAGCCATCAAGGGGCTACAATAGAGAAACAAATAATAAAATGTTCCGGCCATACAACTACTAACCTTTCTACTCAAAATTGAATTTATGAGACTAGCAAAGACCTGTTACGGCCGCCAGTATGTCCAACATGATCCAAGCCAAGGTAATGAAGGATCTGATAAAGGGTAGATCTAGTAAGAATGAAGCAAAGAAAATTAAGAACAATCAAGTTGAAGGGACAATACACATATCCTGGGGATCAAGAGAAAACAGAAACTAACCAGGAGATTCCAGTCATCACGATTAAGCTCATTTGGCAAGTGTCTGGACACATTTCTGTCTACCTGGACTGTATCTTTGACCTGTCAGAAAAGCATATTTTGTTTATGTGACCCTGATATAAATACGAAAAACAATCAACACGGAAAACAGCAAACTATCACAGTAAAACTCACAAAAAAGCTGCTAACGCCGTCACTTCTCATAAATGTCCCCGGGAATAACTTGAGCCATGTCTCGTCACCGAGCATCACCATTTTCCAACCAATTCTAAAGAATTGACCTGGTAAAATTATCGCACTGTCACATAGCTTTGCTTTCAAATACGTTTGCAAGCATGAATCACTAATAAAACTAATAGTTACCAAGAAGGTTGTCATCTAAGAGGGCTTGTGTGTTGAAATTGAAAGCAACATCCAAGAATCCACCAATTGCCCCAGATACCATCGCCTGAAAACAATGAAATTAATAGCTCTTCCACTTAAACACGCTTAGCAACGAAGATACACACAAACACACCTTCAACCTCGGCATTGTAACAGTTGGAGGAGCTGCTTTAGCATGGTAACCAATTGCATCTCCATTAGCCAACAGTGACTGTGTATAAGGCATAGACTCTTTCCATACCTTCCATGGAGGTTGACCATCCTTCCCTAGAACGAACTCCGCAGGAAGCCCATCAATCACCTAAACTAAGCACTCTTAAAACATTCTCTCACAAACTAAACAAGCAATAAATTATCCAATTCTTAACAAGTCCATACCATCAAAATCAGTCGATCATACTTAGAAGAGATGCCAGATAACTCCTACATTACAAACAATTCAACACTATCAGACTTGAAACCAGCCAAAATTACTCAAACGAAACAAAAGCGAAGCTATACATTGGATTCACAACAAACAAACCTGATAGAGCAATCTCAGCTTCTCGGGATGAATCTCTGACTCCTTCGAATTCGGAGGAGAATCACAGAAAGGATCACGATAGCTCTCCGAACCACTGCCATTTTACATAAACAACAACAAATAAGAGTAAGAAAATCAATAGAGTAGATTCAAATGTTATGAGTTATACCTGACGCCGGAGAGAGTCGGCTTGACGGGGAAGAAACCGAAGACAAAAATTGATAGTCCGATGATCTGAAGGATTATTCCGGCGACCGTATAGATCGTCAGTCGTGTACAAGTCATATCCGTCGTCATTTCAAGATCCGGCGAGAACTGGCAGCGAAAAAAACTAAAAGGTTCAAAAATGAAAGTGGATTACAAGAAGAAAACCAACAAATGGGCTTTTAAAATCGGCCCAGTAAATAGCCCATTAGGATTTGCTTTTTAGTAACTGTCACTGTTGTTTGATTCATGGAAAGTGTCAGTGAGTAGTACTGAATAGGAACTGTTGAAGCCTAAAATAGCTAAAAGGTTAGGGGCAATGTTACTTAGAGTCCAGTCAAAAAGTCTGACAAACTTGACCAATCAAAATCTAAAGACACACAGTATTGTCACGTGCGGCTCTAACTATTCAATTTTCAAAATATAAATGATTCCGGCGTTTTAAACGCAGTAAAACGATTGAAGCGTTTCAATCTCTTTTGTTTGTTGTTAAATAATCCATCTCTTTCAAGATTTAAGATATTTTAGAGTCTTCAGATATTTTAGAGTCGTCTTAAGATATTTTAGAGTCTTTTGTTTATCTTATTATACAAAAGCATCTACATTGGTAAGAGATTTGAAAGAGTATTTTATTAATATGAAATTAATTTTTAAACGAAATTCAAATTTGTAATTTATGATTTTTTTCTGAGCAATTCATTTATTTGAAGCTAATGATCTCAAGAGTTTTTGAAAAGCTTTTAATGGTGAGATATCTACTGAGATATCAAAATGAGATGTTCTAAAATATTTTTCACATTTCTCTGTAAACTTGAAATTTATTAATTTTTTGTGAGTAATCGTATTATGTTTTCTTTTGGTGATTAGTTTGGACTGTATTTACTTATAAATAGGGGTGGACGCGGAGCGGATATCCGGGATTTTGGAGATATCCGTGATCCGCTCCGTTCCGGTCGGATAATCATTTTTATGATCCGTATCCATTCTGTAATTATCCGGATATTCGTTTTCCGGATATCCGCCAAAAATCTAAATATTTGCCGATATCCGATCCGGCCCAAAAAAATATTTAAATAATAATATATTTAAAATAAAAAATAAAAAAATTCAAAATTTAATTAAAAATGACAATATTTTCTTTAAAAATATATTTTTTCTTAACTTATTAGTTTTAATATTTATAATAATTAAATTTATAAACAAAAACTCATAAAAATTATATTTATATATAATAATTATACATTTTATATGAATTATTATCTATCTATATATACATATATATTTATACCGGAGCGGAGCGGATACCCGTCTTAATTTTTTTTAGTATTTGTGATTTGCTCCGTTTTTAACGGATATTAAATTTTAGTATTTGCTTTGCTCCATAAAATTACGGATATCCGGATTTTTCGGATCGAATCAAGACGAATAACGGATCGAAGCAAATATAACGGATATTTTACCCAGTCCTACTTATAAATGATACTTAAAACAAACAAATTTATTAATCTTTATACTTGTAGCTAAAATATCTTATAATTCAAAACAGAGAAAGTGGCATTCAGTCATGTATGTATCATTGCGTATGGTTGGATTTGATAGAAGGAGAGATGCAAATATTTGTCTTTTATGAAACAGACAATATGAATAAACACAATCTAAAACATAAAATCAACTAAAAGAAAATTAATTTGGTATCACTATCTTTTGTTTTCTAAGTAATTTCACACAAAAACAAAGACTTGTGTGTTTCGTACCATAAACCACAAGATACTCGACACTTGCAAGAACCAAATAAAAACAACAAGCATTTGAAACACAGTAAATTTTATTTTTATTTCATAAAATATTGTGTGTTTTGTACCATGATTTTTGTTTGAAGAGCTATACGTTACAAAATAAATGTAACAGAGAGAAATGAACTAAAATAAATTTTGGTCTTCAACTCTTTCGATGTAGTCATCATCCTTTAATAGGAAAACTTCTCTTGTGGAATCTGATCAAAGGAGATATAAACTTCATGGTTCTTTAATGTTTTTAGACGTCTAGAAATTTCTGGAATAATTAGAGGATCAAATATTTCCAACACACAATAAACCTTGTAAACTTGCCTCCAAATAGATTTTTGAGTCTCCACTAGTATTAAACACTTTTTACGTAGAAATGCTAGTTCGACATTATTTTAAACGTACAAACATTAAGTTTTTGGGTAAGAAAAAGTTTAAAAAAAAAACCATGAAGTTTTTAGGATAAAGTAAAAAAAAATTATTGTTGGATGAGCCCATACCAAAATGCTTATTATTATCAAGAGTATGTATAATGTACTGTTGAGTATTATTGCTAATTAAATTGTCCTTGTGGTCAATTATTATTAAAACAACAGTTTAAAAAAAAGGCCATATCATGGTTTTTGAATCTTTTGATTATGAGGTTCAACCACTAGAGACTATTCATTAATCATTAGAATTTATTAAAAACTAATTATGTAGTGTAAATGGGTAAATAATTGTATTCTTGGAGTAACAAAGAAGAAATGGCGTTTGATTTGAGTAGTTGTGGAGTGACTATTCATTTTATTTGTTTTTTTCAAACTTTAAATTAAAAATTAAATATTGTACGGAAAATTTGATCGTGTCCCAATCAAAATTCTTGTGGATGCCTCGCGTCTGGTTTGGGTCCCCTCACAAATTTCTAGTGGTCGACAGTCGACACTGCTTATTACTCTCTTGCTCGAGGGTCCCACTCTATTCACTGTTTCTTCGCATTAAGGTATCCTAAAATATTATTGTTTTTATACAATACTAGTATTTGTTTTGTTAATTTTGCTTATTTTATTTGGAAATAATTAACAAAGTGAAAGCTTAGACTAATTTATATTTTTAAATGACATCTGTCACAATCTCAAATAATAATAACATAACATATTTCGAAAACTTTCATTCACTTTTCAGTCTAAATTTATCTTTCAAATTATTTGAAATTTTTGGTTCATTTTTCAATTTAAAGATATTTCAGTTTCTTTTGTTTTAGTAAATTATATATCAGTTATAAAATTCATGTTTGATTTAATTGGAAAAAATAGAGATTGGATCAGTTTGGCTCATCCCAGCCGAAGTAAAAACCAAAAGAATTTTTCAAAGTTATTGGTTGGTTTGATTGCTAAAACCAAATCCAAACTGAATTAATCAAATATCGATTTGGTTCGATCAATTCAATTCATAATTTTTATGTCATGACTATAATAAAATGTTAAAAGATGAATAAGACCTGTGAAAATCACATTCTAACCACCACCCACCCATGGATGTTTTTAAAACTACATATTAATGTATTATAAACTTCACTCTAATTTTTATTTTTGAAGTTTCTTTATTAATACTACCATATTTTTCTATATATCAATTTTATAAAATTTGAAACTACATTCCAGCCCCTGAAATTCTACAGAATTTTTGAATTTTTTTTACAGCGAATACGACCAATTTAGTTACCAAGAGTGTAAGTAACAAAGTGAGACATCTCATTTTATGCTTCCCTATAAAAAGAAATTCCCCACTGACCCAAACAAACACTTCTATTCCCTCTCTCATCTCATTGGAGACTATAAATCTTATTTCCTCGCCATATCCAATAACTACCACACATAAACCAATATCCAGAAAGAAACTAAACAAAATAAAAATATCTGTTGCCTTCCAAAAATAATCATTTAAGAAACCCCATCACGTTGATAAAATTATTAAATAATAAACCCTTCCCTGAAAATATCTTCATCTCCACCAATCAAAACCCTCTCATGTCTTCTTCTAAGACGTTTGAGGTGGAAAATTATATTATATTATATATATTCCCTTAGCTTTTTCTCCTTTTTTTTTCTTTCTTCATTCGGAGGTTTTCTTTGATCCTCATAACTATGCTCCTTATGGATTAATCATCTGATCTAGTTTCTCTTCAAGATTTTAATTTCCTTTCTTTCAAATCTTCAAAAACTAGGGTTTTTACTGTCTTGAAAATCATATTATTCTTCTAAATTTAGCAAAAAGAACACGATTTGATTTCCATTTCAGTCGTCTTGTCACTCTCTCTCTCATCTTTAAAGTCTCCATTTTTAGCAAAAATTCTCTCTCTCCTCTTTCTCTCAAGTTTTTTCTTCTGGACACCTCTTCCTCTCTCTCTCTCTCTTTACTTTCTCTTTTTATTCATCATCACTCGTTCTTGATTCAAGATCTTGCTCCTGTTCATCAAATCAAACCCTTTTATTCTTGGATCAAAATAAACTTCCTTATCTAGGGTTTTTCTTTCCGATGGCGAGAGAGAAGATTCAGATCAGGAAAATCGACAACGCGACGGCGAGACAAGTGACGTTTTCTAAACGAAGGAGAGGACTTTTCAAGAAAGCAGAAGAGCTCTCTGTTCTCTGCGACGCCGATGTTGCTCTCATCATCTTCTCTTCCACCGGAAAGCTCTTCGAGTTTTGTAGCTCCAGGTCTCTCTCTCTCTCTCTCTCTCTCTCTAATTTGTCTATATATCTCATTAGATTTCTGAAACTCTTTGAACCAATCATCTCTAGATCCAGACACAAGCTTGGAGCTTTTAGATGTCTATGTGTCGCACAGAGAAGTAAACTGTATAAAACCTTAGTGGACCACTAACTTTATGTAGAAGATATATTAATGACCAAAAATGACGTAGATTCAACTGTAGTAAACTCTTGATTTAGGCAAATATAAGGTATCTAAGTACACTAATATTAGAAATAATGTAAATATAAATTATATGCATAAATGCTCTACTTTTTTTTGTGTTGCATAAATCTTTGATATAGATATTTGTGGATGATATGTGGAAGCCATCAATGTCATATTTATTTAGAAATTTGTGGAGATTATAGCATTAGAAATTTAGGATTTATCTATATATGTGTGGATAAACAAAACTTTGGGAAAGTTTTTCTTGAAGAAGTGATTAATAAAAATAGTAATAAACAAGTTCGAATCTATATTAGTGTTGGGAAAAGTCCTATAGATGGGTTTTTGGAGATGTTATGGATATTGGGAATCTAAAAGGACTTATCATATCATAAAGATACGATTTTGGATTTCTGACCCACGAGTTATCAGTTCAGTTCCTATCGTCGGCAACACCTCTACACACACATACAGTCACAGATACTTATACAATTATATATTATATATATAGTATATATATAGTATATATATTATATATAGTATATATATATTATATAGGTATAGTATATATATTATATATAGTATATATATTATATAGGTATAGTATATATATTATATATAGTATATATATTATATAGGTATAGTATATTATATAGGTATAGTATATATATTAAACGACAGTGTATAACATGAAATAATGTTTGTTTCAGTATTAAGTTTTGTTATGTGGATTATGTTTTGTATCTTTTGATTGTACATTTTCCATGTTTAAATCTAATGCAGCAGGGATATATTAGCAAAATGTAGCTGTTTATAACATAATAGTAGATTATTTACAGTCTTATATAAGGTATTTATTGGAATGTGTTTGCATTATTTAATGAAGCATGAAGGAGGTATTAGAGAGGCATAACTTGCAGTCAAAGAACTTGGAGAAGCTTGATCAGCCATCTCTTGAGTTACAGGTTAGCTTTTACGATTCTCTAACTTATAAAATCTACTGCTACGTTAAATTACCATTTTGATCAAGAAATTCTAAAACATTATATTAATAATAGCCCCAAAGCATTATATTTATTGCATACGATTAGACTACGTATTTAGGGTTGTGATTTTAAAGCTAGACATGTACAGTTAATCATGTGTAGAGATTTGAGATTATATTATTATGGATTTGATCAAGAGCTTAACCCAATGGTTTACCTGTTAGCTGGTGGAGAATAGCGATCACGCTCGGATGAGCAAAGAAATTGCGGACAAGAGCAACCGACTAAGGTACACAATATATACATATTCTTTGAATTTTGAAATAACTCTTTTTCTAACTATATGTGTTTATATGATCATAGGCAAATGAGAGGAGAGGAACTCCTAGGACTTAACATTGAAGAACTGCAACAGCTGGAAAAGGCCCTTGAAGCCGGTTTGACACGCGTAATTGAAACAAAGGTAGTTAAAAACTTTAGATGTTAAAAGATGTAGCCATATGATCATACAATGAATAAGATTCCCTCTAAGCTTGCGATCGAATGCGTACTTAACTACTATGAGATGTTGTTGCAGAGTGAAAAGATTATGACTGAGATCGGTGAGCTTCAAAGAAAGGTAAGAATCAAATCAAATTTTAATATAGTTGTTGATTCAAATAATTTTGGCATTGACAAGAGTTTAAAATTTCTCTGTTCCTAGGGAATGCAATTGATGGATGAGAACAAGCGGTTAAGGCAGCAAGTACGCATCTCACTCTTTGTAACGCATATCTTTAATCATACTTTGAGATAAGCGAGGTTAAACCAACTAATTAGCGTGGTTAAAAGGTGTCTTAGATATTTAGGGTAAAAACTTAGGACATTTGGTCCTAATTGGATGTAAGAATGTGCATGGTTTTGTGTTCCTTTTTTCTATGTTTTTAATTTTTTTTATGGAATATGGATTGGTTGGACATTGTTTCATATTATAGTTTGGTTTAAGTTTGCTAGAGCCTAGGGTGACTTTATGTCAAAACTTGCTCATCCCTCAATTAGTCGATCTCTAGAGAAAACCAAGATACTTTGTGACAATATATAAAAACTCAAAATACAAATAACTAGAGAACTTAATGCTTTTCTTGTCTCTTCTATTTTCCAATCTTGATTTTGCAGGGAACACAACTAACGGAAGAGAACGAGCGACTAGGCAAACAAGTACGTTGATATTATTTCGAATTTTATATCTTTTTTTTTGTATTTTTTCGGTCTAATAAAAAATTTGGAGCTTTTGTTTTGTTACGTTGCAGATATGTAATAATGTGCATGAAAGAAACGTTGGTATTGAATCGGAGAACACTGCCGTGTACGAGGAAGGACACTCGTCGGAATCCATTACTAACGCCGGAAACGGCGCTCCTGTTGACTCCGAGAGCTCCGATACTTCCCTTAGACTCGGGTAATTTATTCATTATTTACTTTCTCTCTGTTTATTTACTCTTTTCTTAATTTAATAATTTGACGTGACTTTTCCTAAAAAAATAAGCTGTAAAAAGACAAGAAGAGTATATGCACTAAGTGGTCATATGTTGATAATTTATTTCTAAAAACCATGAAATGTAATTTTTTTTTGGGTAAAATTTGGTCTGAAATATAGCCATTTACCTGAATCACCCTCAAAAGAACTAAATATTTTTTTTTGGTTTGTGCAGCTTACCGTATGGTGGTTAGAGATGGAACAATACTAAGAAGTTGATGGAGTGAGGAGATTAATGTAAATCTTTTTAACTCTATAACAAGAGGCAGTGTAGTAGTTTTTATTATGCATGTTGTAAGTTTCTGTTTGAGGAAGAGGTTTTCCTTTTATGTTTCTCATTAGCTCTCCTATATTAGTACGTCTCTTCAATGCATTTCTGTTTTAGTGTTTTGTCATCAACAAAAACAAAATGTATGGACATTGTAATTTGGTAAATAGATCAACGTTTATGGGATATTAACCAATTTTAGCAAAAATATTATATTTGCAGTCGTTGTGGTAGTGATATTTTATAACATAAAATTTAAGTTACTGAAATTTTGCATCGGTAGTCGCTGATTGCTATGGCTTGATCTCGATCATGTATCGCTATTGCCAGAGACTGCATAGCAAACATGACCAAACATCAATGACTCTTAAGAGCTCGAATAAATATTTAAACACTATAACTCACTAGAGGATACCTAACAAACGTTGAATCAAAACCCATCTAGTTGCCTCTAAACCCTCAAGCTAGCTCTAATAATTACGTTATGACTTAAGTTTGGTAGGTTCTAGATAAAGACCACACCGTTGTTTTAAGAGACCTCAATAATCTCTTATGTAGAGCAAGCACATAATGCAGATACCATCTCTGTATATATATGAATATATATGTATATATATACTTATATAATTCACATTCTAATAATATTTCGCTGATTCGAAGTCATTGTTATTTGTCTCACTCTAATCATGATTTTTAAATCTGATCAAGTCAGCATTCAGCAGCAAAATGTTGACATCTATATATGTTTTTGTTTCTGCACAATTTGGGTCTATTTAAGGCCTAAGAAATGAGATATATATATGGTTTCAAAAATTGTCAGCCCACAAAAAAAACTAGAAAAGGGATTTTTCCCTAACATTTACAAAATCAAAAATAAATAAGAAAATACTGTTCCCTTAAAAAAAATAAAAATCATCAATCTAGTTTGTAAAAGTGTAGGATTTTCTTAACATTTACTTCTCAAAACAAATAAGAAAATATAGATTACTTACTGGTTTGCACAGAATTTATTTAATTCTTTTATATTACTTCATCTTGGTTTAATAATATTTCCATGTGTGAAGTTTAAAATTTCAGAGATCCAACCAAACGTTAATGATTTAGTCAGTGGTGGAGTCATCCATTAATTTACCGGAGTCAAATTTAATTTGTGATAAAATATAAATTAAATACTATAAATTTTATATTTAGACAAATATCAATTTTCTTAAAAAGTAAGGTCAATATTTACTACATATTTCTATTTCTAAAATGGTCAATATATAAGTATAAGGTAATAACAAAAAACACAACTAAAAGAGAAAAGAGAAAAATCTGTATGTGAAAAATAAAAAAATGATTCATTTATTTTTATTCAAAAAACAGAATGTTGGACTGCTGAAACTAGGCTGAAACACAAAACAGAAAGAAAATTAGAATAGAGAAATAAAAATAACAATTAGATGATTATAAAAAAAGGAGATTTTCCAATGAAGGAATGTTATTGGGGCCAATAAGCTATTTTACAACGTTTCCTTTTTTATAATGTTTAAAACCCTTGCACCAATTTTTCTTTTCTGTTTTGTTTGGTCGGATTTTGACACACCGACCTTTGACCAGTTCATCAAAACGTGTCCGGTTTTATGGTTAAACCGTCAAAAAAAGCTCTGTAAGATTCAATTTAAAAATGATTTAAGAAGAGAAAAAAAAGGCTTTGCTTGCTTGAATATCTTTTGCTAAAAAACCGACAATGTCACTAAACTACTAAAGACGACATTTTCACATTCCTTTTTTTCCAATTATTTTAATATGTTCATTCTCTGAGATTCTTTCTCATAAGAGAATAAACTATTTTCTGGTTCTGACATGTTCGATAACGTTTGATATATTCTTAAAATCTCGAGAGAATGCTTCTGACTTCTCCGACCACGACGCTGGCACTATAACATTGGTTGTAATAAAGACATTCCTAGTAGAATCAAAATTTAAAAATTTGTTTCAAAATATCAATAAACTAACTCAGTAATAAAATAAATAGTCTTGAAAAGAAAAATTAAAATCTTTTACCAAAATAATATTATTAGGTGGAGAGAGAAAGAAAGAAGAGCGAGGTTTGCTCCCACCCATGATCAAATCAAACAGCTCAGCTCAAAGGAGAGATTAATAAAAGTCCCTCCCGAGAAAAAAGCAGAGAAAATGATCGGAAAAAAAAGCAGATTCATTTCTTAATTAGCTGCACGTTCTTTCCTCAATCCAAATTTTTTTGATCAAAAAAGAAAAAAAAAACTTAACTTTCATTGTGGGTCTAAAATTTCTTCTTTCTTTCTCAGGAAAATTTCCTTTTTCTTTTCTTATTGAGATCTAGAGAGAGAGAGACATTGCAACAAAAGAGTCTCGCACATATAAAAGTCAAAAGCTCTGTTCTCTGTCTCTGTTTTCTGGGAATTTGAATGAGAAAGATAAAAGAAACTTGAAAAAAAAGGAAAAAACATTTTGCGTGATAATTTTCGTAGTGGAAGACGATGCTGCAGAGAGCTGCGAGTAATGCGTATTCATGGTGGTGGGCGAGTCATATTCGAACCAAACAATCGAAATGGCTCGAACAAAACCTTCAAGGTCTCTCCTTTTTTTCATCTCTCTCTCTTTTTATATCTATATTTACACAAATATGTGCGTATGTATCTGTTTGATTCTTTGGGTAAATGTATGATTCGTCTTTTTGCTGGAAACCCTTTTTCTATTAAGAACAAAAGCTGAGATCTTTCTGATAATTGAGGTTGTCTGAATCAGAAACTCATGATCCAAAACGATCTCTCTGTAAAAATCTTTATCCTTTGAATTTACAGATATTGAAGAGAAGGTGCAATATGTGTTGAAGCTTTTACAAGAAGATGGAGATTCGTTTGCGAAGCGAGCAGAGATGTATTACAAAAAGAGACCAGAACTCATAAGCTTCGTTGAAGAATCTTACAGAGCTTATAGAGCTTTAGCTGAGCGTTACGATCACATTTCCACAGAGCTTCAAAACGCAAACACCACGATTGCCTCTGTTTTTCCTGACCAAGTCCCAAACTTTGCAATGGATGATGACGACGATTCGTCGTCTAAATTCGCCAAAAGACAGAATCTTTCAGGAGCTAATGTCCCTAACGTCCCGAAATTGCCTGTTAAAGACTTGAAGACCGCGGTTAAAGTTGCTACCAAGAAGCTTCAGCCGAGGAAATCTATGAAGTACACGGGAGGTTCTGCGAACGTGGTCGTCAAGAGCTCGGGTTTGAGCAAGCCAGAGGCGATGGGGGAGATTGATAAGTTGCAGAAAGAGATCTTGTCGTTGCAGACGGAGAAGGAGTTTGTGAAGAGCTCTTATGAGCAAGGTTTGTCTAAGTACTGGGAGTTTGAGAAGAGTATCAAGGAGAAACAAGAGAGGATTTGTGGTTTGCAGGATGAGTTTGGTGAGAGTATTGTAATCGAAGACGATGAGGCTCGGAGATTGATGACCGAGACTGCGATAAAGTCGTGTCAGGAGAAGCTAGTGGAGTTACAGGAGAAGCAAGAGAAGTCTTATGAAGAAGCTAGAGAAGAGCATATGAAGATTAAGGAGTCTAAAGAGAAGCTAAGATCAATGGCTAGCCAGTTTCTAGGGGATGAAAGTGTCTTTGCGAAAGACGATGGTGATGAAGTTAGAAGAACAGAAGAGTTGGAGCATGAGATGAAAGAGATGTCTAGGAAGAAGAAAGAGTTGGAATCTGTAAAGGAGAAGATTAGAGAACATTTCGAGTCTGGTTTGAATTCTTCAGCCAACGCGACAGAGATGGCTGAGAAAGTCGATGAGCTCGTGAACAAAGTGCTTAGCTTGGAGAGTGCGGTTTCCTCACAAACTGCTTTGATACAGAGATTAAGAAACGAGACCAATGGTCTTCAGACACAGATCAGTACTCTTGAAACTGATAAGGCGATGTTAGCAGATGACAAGAGTGATCTGAGGAAGAAGCTGAAGGAAATGGAAGATAAACTCAAGGCATTGCAGGATTTGGACAGAAATGTTATGGATAAGAGTAGCAATCTCCAAACAGATTTTGATGAAGCATGTGATAATCTCGATAACCTCTCTTGTGGGAACTTTCATGAGGTGAAGCCAGAGAGCGAGTCTGATAACTTGGCGATGAAAATGGAACCGGAGAAAGATCTGGAAGGTGAGAAGAGGAGTTTAGCTGTTTCTGAAGAGACAAAGGAACTGGCCGAGAAGAGTGAAAGCTCTGAACAGATCCTCGATCTGACAACAGTTGCAGGAGATATCAGCATCCAAAGTAAAACTCCAGAGACTGTTTTCGAATCTACTGAAAAAGTTGATTCTGATTCAGAGAAGCAAGCTGCATCTGACAAGACAGAGTCTGTTCTTGATAATGTTTCAGAGAAGCAGGCTGCATCTGACAAGACAGAGTCTGTTCTTGATAATGTTGTAGAGAAGCAGATATCATCTAAAGAATCTGACATCGCTTTCAGTGGCCAACAACAAGAGGATGAAAAGGAGAAAGAAAGTGAACCAAATTGGAAAGAGATGTTCATGAAGGGAATGGAGAACAGAGAAAAGCATCTGCTTACGGAGTACACGACTATTCTCAGGAACTACAAGGACATGAAGAAAACTTTGGATGAAACAAAAACAAAGCTGAAGACAGAGAATGCTACAAAAGATGATGAGATCAAGCTACTAAGAGAGAAAATGAGCCTCCTACAGAAGGGTCTTGCGGACAGTAATGACTTGATGGAAAACCAGTTGTCAAACGACGACTATTCCCTCGGATTCATGGCTGCAGAAAACGTGAACATGTCCCTGGTCGAGGAACAGTTCAGGTTGAATATTGATGAGCTTCTAGAGGAGAATTTAGATTTCTGGTTAAGGTTCAGCACAGCATTTGGACAGATACAGAGCTACGACACATCAATCGAGGATCTACAAGCCGAGATATCAAAGCTAGAGCAAAGAAGAAAGCAAGATGGAAGCAGCACAGCTAAATATGCCCTGAGATCAGATGTTCGACCACTTTATCTACACTTAAGGGAAATAAACACAGACCTGGGTCTCTGGCTGGAGAAAGGTGCAGCTTTGAAAGAGGAACTGAAATCAAGATTCGAGTCGCTGTGTAACATACAGGATGAGATAACAAAAGCACTGAAATCAAGTGCTGAAGACGATGATTTCAGATTCACGAGCTATCAAGCTGCTAAATTCCAAGGTGAGGTGCTGAACATGAAGCAGGAGAACAACAAAGTGGCAGACGAGTTACAGGCTGGGTTAGATCACATTACCACGCTTCAACTCGAGGTTGACAAGACTCTAGGAAAGCTAAGCGATGAGTTTTCTCTTTCGGGTTCAAAACACAGATCCGATCCTGACCTTCAGCATTCGGATAGTCGCTCAAGAGTTCCCTTAAGGTCATTCATCTTTGGCTCCAAACAGAAGAGAGCAAAGCCGTCCATATTCTCCTGCATGCATCCCTCACTATATAGAAAGATGAAGACTTCTACATAGGTAACATTTACATATTATACAATACTTACAATCCAGAGAGTTAATTGAATCATATACTGTATCTTATATCCGATTCATGGAGGATTTTATTTATTCGTCTTTTTTACCTGTATTTCCCTGGGGAGACTGAGCATTTTTATCCCCCATCTCCTTTGTTTTTTGGTTTGCGAGATTGAAACAATAGTGTTGTGTTTTGGTTATCCTTTTTGAGTATTGTAGATTGTTCACAGCTTGTAACTGTTGAAGCAAGAGGGGTGTCTCCCAGTTTTTTTTTTCAAAAGTTTTATGCCAAGAACCATTACAAGAAACAGAGTTTGTGTTTTCATGATGGCATAAAAACAGACATGGTTCGGTAACAATCTTATGAGACTATGCTAAGACTCTAAGAGTCATTGTCTCTCAAAAACTCAAGTGTAAAATCAGACTGAACATTTCATTTAGACAGATGAGATATCAAATTATTTCTCATTCAGATAATGAGATAATACATAAAAGTTGATCTTCAGCAAAGAAGCTTCATGAACAATTTACATGAAAAAATGGCAAATTCAACAATTTACTGAAATGATAAAATTTTCCTGCGAGCCAGTCTTTCACTGACCAAAAGAAATTTCAGAGACTACCTTAGCTCCTCTTCCTTTAGCCATGTACAGACCTATATGGTGCATCAACTCCTGGTACAAAGAAACACAACAGAAGAATAAGAAGATGAGCCGATTCAAAAGTAATAAAGGAACCTGACAAAAGAAAAGACAATTGTACAAGCTTATAATGCTAATTTCAGAAAAATCAATTTATCAGGCTTCACAAGAGAAATCTAAATACCTGGGGATGAGCCTGAGCGCCTTTGATGTCTTTTGCAACATGAAGAGGAAGGTCAAAAGTGGCGCAGCCATGAGAGTACACTGCCACATCTTCTAAAGGAGGAAGAACACTGTGGTTTCGGGCAGAGATTACAGTAGCCACAAAATCAAACACACATATGTCCGTGCAGATACCTACGACCACAATCTGTAGATCCCCAATCACACAAGGATCTTTAAGTAAGTTGAAGATAAGCCTTAAAAGCATTGAACTTGTTAACCATAACTGATCACATTATAAAATAAAACAAAAAAAAAACTTACGGCTTTGATCTGTTTTTCCTTAACCCAATCCACAAAAACATTAGAACCATCTTTCTCCATAGAACCCACAAACCCATTAATGCAATCTTTGCGCCTAAGAGTGACACAACTCTCACTCTCAAGCCACTGCAGAGCTGATAGATTATCAGAAAAAAACAAGAAGTCAAGAGCACTATCTCACTGGTTTTAGAATCTAAGAAGACATTGACAGAGCAAAAAATACCAGGAACGAGTTTTGATTCATCGGTTCCAATAATACAATGAGGAGGATACGGGACCTCCAGGATATCAGGGTGATGGGAGTCAAGAAACGCAAAAATCGGCCATTTCCGATTGCAGAACTCTCTTGCAAGCTTTGCAGATTCCTCCACCATCTTTGATATCTGTTCATTATGCTTTGTTGGAGCCTGCAGAATCACAAGGCAAACAGATTCAAATTCGCTCAAATAACGTATCACTGAGGCAATATCACAAACACTTGGTAGGCATTAAGAAACTAAACAAAAAATCAAAAACAAAAGCGTCCAAATTTCCGGTTTCTTGGAGAAATTAGAACACATAAAACAACAGCATTATAATGAAACTGTGAAAGAAGAGTATATAAACCATATTTCCGGAGCCAACGGTGCAGAACCCATTAACAACGTCAACGATGACGAGACCGACCCTCGAGTCTGGATTCAAAACCAGAGATTCTTCATCCACTGGAATCTCCTTCTTCAGCTGATTGAGTATGGTTTCATCAGTCGACATTATCGATACGTGAGATAGGATTATCTCATTACCAATAAACTATCATCCGGTTTTGATCTTTGGATCCCGGTTTATCTCCTTTCGGTTTATTTCGATTTACATCTGGTATTTCTTTAGTCAAACTCTGAACCACCTGAGGTCACTTTTATATACTGCCATTGACATCTTTTCCAAAAGTAATCTGAGAATTATCTTCTTCTTTATCTTTCTCTCTGTACGTTCCATCATCGTCACCAACCATCGAATCTTGTACCTTAGAGGTGATTTTCTCTTTCATATATCATCTCCTAGGCTTGATTTATCCTTTCTTAGAGCTCAAGTGGAGCCCCTAGTCAGGTCATTATACTAACGGTCTCATTGGTATCAAAGCCAGGTTAATCTCTGGGAAAACGAAGAACAATGGTCGAAACAAGAAAAAAGGAGAAACAAGCTATGGCGGTCCCAGTTACGAGTGATCCTCCGGAGGATCCGCAGCTGCAGCAAGAAAAACGGTTTGAAGCTCAGCAGATCCGTGCCGATCAGCTGGAAGCTCGCTTCAGTAAGCTCGAGACGATGATCATGGGCTATTTCTCTCACGGAGCTCCAGCATCGCAGCTCAATCCATCGCATCCGTGTTCAAGCTCTGCACCCCCTGTTGGAGTCCTCTCACAAGGGACGTTCCAGTTACCAGATCCGCCAGATCTGAGTGGGGTGGAGCGGAATAAGTGCGGTGCCGACCTGTCACCTCCAGTTGGAGTCCTTTCTGCGAGGATGATCCAGTTACCAGATCCTCAGAGTCTGAGTGGGGTCGACGGCTCTTCACCTCCAGTTGGAGTCCTCCCTGCGAGGATGGTCCAGTTACCGGATCCTCAGGGTCCGAGTGGGGTCGAAGGCGGTTTCGCCGGAATAAATCTGAACAGAGACGGATCTGCTACACTACCGAATGGTCTGGCTTCGCGACTCACCAAAGTTGGATTTCCGGGGTTCGACGGATCGGATCTTCGAGGATGGATCTATCGGTGTGAACAGTTCTTCGATCTAGACGGCACGCCGGCGGATCTGAAGGTTCGACTCGCCGCGTTGCACCTCTCTGGAGCCGCCCTCGAATGGCACCATAACTACTTAGCAGAACGGTATGGTATCTTTCCCTCTTGGACTGACTACGTCGTAGCGATCTCATCGCGTTTCAGTGCGTTGTTTGACGATCCGTTAGCGGAGCTCGTGAGTCTACATCAGGGCTCAGATACGGTGGAAGTTTTCCTGAGAAAATTTGAGAGTCTACGCACCCGAATAGCTATCCCAGCTAGCCATGCTCTTAGTATCTTCTTATCCAACTTGAACCCACACCTCGCCTACCACACGAGACAGTTTGAGGTGAAATCTGTGGCTGCAGCAGCTCGAATCGCTAAGCTGCACGAATCATCTTTACTTCACACACCAGTGAAGCAGAGTAGAGCTTCCTTCAATCCATTTCCTAAACAGTCCTCTTATTCCAATCAGCGGAATCAGCAATACAGCCTTCAGGATTCCTCACCGATATTACCTCTCCCTGCCCCGCCTAAGCATACCAACTCCAAACCAAACTACATCCCTAAATCCTCACCAGATAGGCAGCCCAAACGGTTTTCATACCAGGAGATGCAGGAACACCGTGCTAAAGGTTTGTGTATGTTTTGTGATGAGCAATACACTCCCGGTCATCATTTGAAGCATAAACGTTCGCAGATCTTCGTTATGGAGTGTGAGGAAGAAGCGAATTCAGACTCTGATGAAGAGTTTGCCAGACAGCTGACTGTTGAGGAAATATCGGATGAACCAGTGGATAATGCTCCCACCATTTCAATGCATGCTCTCAACGGATCGAACACTTTCAATTGCATGAGGGTAGTGGGTCAGTACGGGAATAAGAAGCTTTACATCCTCATAGATCCCGGAAGCATCCATAACTTCATCGATCTCCGCACTGCAAAAGAGATGGGATGCCCACTGGAGCAAACGAGACCCATGCCAGTTGTAGCTGCAAATACAAATGCACTATCCCTTGGAAGGTACAAGGCTATACCTTTACCACAGAAGTCCGTACTATCCCGCTGGATACCTGCGATTTTGTTCTGGGGGTACAATGGCTTTGTACACTTGGTCCGATTTTGTGGGATTTTCTAAACCTCAGAATGGAGTTCACGGTGAACGGCCTCAAACATGTTCTCTGGGGAGTTACTAAATCAGGTTGTAAGGTTATCAAAGGTGATAAGCTTGATAAGCTGATGAAGCAACAGCCACAAATCGCCCTTCTCCAGTTGCAGGAAGTATCTGAGACCTCGGGGCAGGATGAGCTAATCCCTCAGGCGCTGTTCTCCCATATTTCAGCTGACACAAGTGAACTCTCCGAGGACCCAGCTCTCAAGGCTCTGTTGAACAAGTTCAACGACCTCTTTGACGAACCATCTGGCCTCCCACCATTTCGCGAGGGGTTTGATCACCGGATCACCCTTACCCCCGATGCTAATCCGATCAACAAACGTCCTTATCGGTATTCATCTCTGCAGAAAGACGTGATCGATAAAATGGTTCAAGAAATGTTAACGCAGGGCATCATCCAGTGTAGTTCGAGCCCCTACGCTTCTCCGGTCGTCCTCGTCAAGAAAAAGGATGGCTCCTGGCGCCTCTGCGTCGACTACAGGGGTCTCAACAAGCAGACTATCAAGGATAAGTACCCAATTCCTCTTCTGGAAGATCTCCTCGATGAATTAGGGGGTGCGAAATACTTCTCTAAGTTGGATCTTCGCTCAGGCTTCCATCAACTCTGCATGTCCCCTGAAGATGTCTTCAAAACCGCATTCAAGACCCACGCCGGCCATTACGAATATGTCGTAATGCCCTTCGGCTTAACGAACGCTCCATGCACCTTTCAAAGCCTGATGAACCATATCTTCCAATCTGTGGCTCGCCGGTTCGTTCTCGTCTTCTTTGACGACATCCTCGTATACAGTGCTACTTGGGATGATCACTTGTCACACCTCGCCGAGGTCTTCTCCATCCTTCAGCAACAACAGTTGTACCTGAAGCCCTCAAAATGCACTTTTGCGGCCACCAGGATTGAGTATTTGGGTCATTTCATCACGGCAGAGGGCGTCAGTACCGATCCTAGTAAGATTAAAGCTATCGAGAACTGGCCTGTCCCTACTTCGCAGAAACAGCTCCGTAGCTTCTTGGGACTCGCTAACTACTACCGACGTTTTATTCGAGGGTACAGCGTTGTTGCTCGTCCGCTGACAACTCTGCTCAAGAAGGATGGGTTTTTGTGGAATCCCGAAGCCGCAGAAGCTTTTCAGCAGTTAAAAACCTCTCTTACGTCCTCCCCAGTACTGGCTCTACCTAACTTCGAAAAGGTGTTCGTTGTGGAAACTGATGCCTCGAACTTGGGCATTGGCGCGGTGCTTATGCAGGACCAACACCCTATCTGTTTCATAAGCCGAGCTTTGGGTCCACGTCACCAAGTCCTGTCAGTTTACGAGAAGGAGCTATTGGCCGTCGTCCACGCCGTGCAAACGTGGAGTGCTTATTTAACTCATCGTCCCTTCATCATCAGGACAGATCAGAAGAGTCTGAAGTTCCTTACCGAACAGAAAGTTACAACCCCATTCCAACATATGTGGTTATCCAAGCTCATGGGATATTCATTCGAAATTCAGTATAAGGAAGGGAAGGAGAATGTAGCTGCAGATGCTCTTTCCAGGGTCACGGGTTCGGAGTTGCTCAGCATTACACACTCTCAAGCTCACCAGGACTTCTATGCTTCTCTCAAAGCGGTATGGAACACTGATCCTCATTTACTCAAACTTATCTCTGAACTCACGACTGATAAGAGATCTCACCCCTCGTTCACATTCGTTAACAATGAGCTTCGCCGAAAAGGGAAATTGGTGGTAGGAGACAATGCGGATCTCAAGCTCCACATCTTGAGATGGCTCCATGATTCCGCTGTCGGGGGTCACTCGGGCCGAGATGCAACCTTACATCGCGTGAAATCCTTGTTCTACTGGCCGAGAATGAGTACTGAAGTGCAAAACTACGTTCGCAACTGCTCCGTTTGCCAGCGTAATAAGTACGATCAAGCCGCCAAACCTGGTCTCCTTCAACCTCTTCCGGTCCCTAATGGCGTTTGGGAGTCCATCAGTATGGATTTTGTCGAGGGTCTTCCTCCATCTTCTGGGAAACATTGTATACTGGTGGTGGTTGATCGGCTAAGCAAGAATGCTCATTTCTTGGCTTTGTCACATCCCTACACGGCTCGCAAAGTGGCGCATCTCTATCTTGATCAGGTTTTTAAGCTGCACGGAATGCCTCAGGATATTGTCAGCGACAGGGATCCCACTTTTCTCAGTGAGGTGTGGCGTGAGCTCTTCCGGGTCCATGGTGTTGACCTCCGATTCTCGACATCCTACCATCCCCAGACTGATGGGCAAACGGAGATCACCAACCGTACGCTGGAGACCTATCTCCGATGCATGACCTCCGAGACTCCTCACTCTTGGAGTCAATGGCTGCTACTTGCAGAATGGTGGTATAATACTACTTACCACTCTTCTATTAAGTGCACACCCTTTGAGATCGTTTATGGTCAGTCACCACCTATCCACCTCCCTTACTTGCCGGGTGAGAGCTCTTCCGCCACTATCGACCGCGATTTGCAGAAACGTGAAGAGCTTATAAACATGCTGAAGTTCCACCTCCTTCGAGCTCAAAACCGGATGAAGCAATACGCGGATTCCCATCGTTCTACCCGCGAGTTTAAGGTCGGAGATTTTGTCTATTTGAAATTGCAGCCTTATCGTCAGCATTCACTGAAGGCCAAGAAGGTGCCTCATAAGCTCTCTCCCAGGTTCTATGGTCCATTTCCAGTGATCGAACGTATCGGTGCTGTGGCTTACAAGCTCGATCTCCCACCTGGAGCTGCTATCCATAATGTCTTCCATGTGAGCCAGCTAAAGCTTTGTCCTAACCCCTCTTCTACTGTACCTACCTTACCGCAGTATTTACTTGACCTGGGCACCGCTAAGGAACCAGAAACGGTGCTCGAAAAGAAGATGGTTAAACATCGCAATGCTGTAGTCACTAAGGTACTCATTAAGTGGAAGGGGTATCCAGCTGATCAAGCTACGTGGGAGTTTTACCAAGACTTCATCGCCAAGTATCCAACTTTTCATCCTTGAGGACAAGGATCTTCCCAACAGGGGAGTATTGAGATAGGATTATCTCATTACCAATAAACTATCATCCGGTTTTGATCTTTGGATCCCGGTTTATCTCCTTTCGGTTTATTTCGATTTACGTCTGGTATTTCTTTAGTCAAACTCTGGACCACGTGAGGTCACCTTTATGTACTGCCGTTGGCATCTTTTCCAAAAGTAATCTGAGAATTATCTTCTTCTTTATCTTTCTCTCTGTACGTTCCATCATCGTCACCAACCACCGAATCTTGTACCTTAGAGGTGATTTTCTCTTTCATATATCATCTCTTAGGCTTGATTTATCCTTTCTTAGAGCTCAAGTGGAGCCCCTAGTCAGGTCATTATACTAACGGTCTCAATACGAGTCTAGAAGAAAATTCAAAAACCCCCAAAAAAGGAGAATCAAAGAGGGGAAAACAAGAAGATGGTCGAAAGAATTCAGAAAAATTTGGAATTTGGCTTCTGTCTTTCGATCAAAAGATTTCAATTTGTCTATACAAATTTCTGGTTTTTGACTTAGACTTCTTTTTTCCTTTGGATGGATGATTTGAAATACTATTGATATTGTAAAACAGTTGATATTGTAGCAATTGGGGGTGTAGCTCATATGGTAGAGCGCTCGCTTCGCATGCGAGAGGCACGGGGTTCGATTCCCCGCACCTCCATCTTATGATCTTTATTTTTTACCCTTTGGGCCGTCAAAAGCATGATTATGGACCTAATCAAACAAGCCCATTACAATATCTTAAAACACACTTTTCACACATGAGCTCTGCTTTTGTAAGAGTTCTGTTTAGAAAAATAAGATCGGTTAAGAAAACCCGTTAACAATGAGAATGCAACTGAGCCCAAACAAAAATTAAACCAACCCCTTGGTTGACTTAACCAGTCCGGTTTAAACTTGAATGAGATTGATTACCATTTGATGTGCAAACAATTACAAAGACAAAACATCTTTTCTTGTTCTCTTAATTTCGACAAATTTATTACCATGAATGGTGGTTAGAAAAGAAAGTTAGGTCCAAAACATCCACAACGATTATATACAACTAGGGGCTGATCCGCGCTTCGCGCGGAATTTTGTATTGTATTTATTGACATATTTAAAAGAAAACTCTACAATATCATTTTTTTCATTAAATTTTATATCGTAATTTAATATATATTTATAGCATTTAATAATTTTATATACAAAATTTTTAAAATAATTAAATAATGTATCAATTAAAACTTCAAATCAAATTTAATTTGTAGATATCTTTATATTTATATGGGTTTATGATTTTCGAATATATACAATTCTTGATTATTGCATTTAGGAAAAAAAATATATGTAATAGGCAATTAATTAGTAGAAAATATCTCGATTCTCTAACGTATTTCCAAAATATATTCATAATCTCTCTTTTTCTCTACACACATTTCCCTTTTCATCTCCCTCTCCCTCTCCTTCTCCTTCTCCATCTCCATCTCCATCTCCCTCTCCCTCTCCCTCTCACTCTCCTTTTCCCTCTTATGTTATCTCTCCCTTGTCAATGCAACATGTTGAACCACACACAACAAATTGGACCGGTTGAAATTTCTATCTTTCTCAGGTTTTTCTTTTTTCTAGTCACTCTCAATGTCACCTCTCTAACCTGAGCTCTGTATAATTTTTAAGGGGAACTTTACCCATTTTATGTTTCAAAGATTAGGTTGAACATGTTAACATTTTGTGGTACCACAATTTGTTTCACAAAATATGCATTTTCACATCTCTATATTATTATTTAAGTAGTCATTTTAAAAATAATTATTATTTTGTAAATTATTACATGATATGCTAATAACAAAAATAATTAAAATAAGAAATGATATAATTGTCACTCCAGCTTTTTGAAACTCGTGCGAATATTTCTTACCCGTTAATATGCATTTAATTTTATAATCTATTATTCTAACTTTCTTTAAATTTATGTCTTTTGTTATATTCTAGTGTTTTATAACGGTTTTAAAAACAAATTTGGATATTTTTAGATATTAAAAAATTCGGATCCGAGAATTTGTTTCTAGGATTTGGCAAAACTAGATCCAAATCCGGCTATCTTAATATTTTATGATTTACTATTAATGTCTATCGAATCATATAAATAAAGTAAATCATTTAAAATAATAGTAAATAAATGCATTAATATATAAACTATTATTTATAAAGAGTGTCTTTTCATATTCTTGATAAATTAATGGATTATAGTTAAAGTATAATGACATAAAATATAATAAATTATAAATTAATAAATGCATTGATAATGTGTCAAAATTTTAGAGTTTGAGAAAATGATATAGCATCATGAGAATGAGAAAGAGAGGACATTTTACTTTATATATATAGATAATACAAATATTACAATGCAATAATTCGTTAAGAAATTAGATCGGTTAAGAAAACCCGTTAACAATGAGAATGCAACTGAGCCCAAACAAAAATTAAACCAACCCCTTGGTTGACTTAACCAGTCCGGTTTAAACTTGAATGAGATTGATTACCATTTGATGTGCAAACAATTACAAAGACAAAACATCTTTTCTTGTTCTCTTAATTTCGACAAATTTATTACCATGAATGGTGGTTAGAAAAGAAAGTTAGGTCCAAAACATCCACAACGATTATATACAATAATACAAATATTACAATGCAATAATTCGAACAATAAAAATCTAGATTTTAAAAGTTTTCACCACATCCACACATCTTACCAATCATAAATCACACCCGTTCATCTTACCTACAACATCTGTTTTTCACAATCAGATAAATAAAAATGAAAAACTGAAATTTGTTTTTATTGCAAATATCTTTCTGCTTCTTCATTTTTTTCCTCTATAAAATGAAAAAAAAAATTGTCGACAATGGAAAATTGGAAATTAAACAATGACGAACATTAAAGGCGACAATGGAGGAAATGGAGCCAAGCTCCACGTCGCAATGTTTCCATGGCTAGCTTTTGGCCATATGGTTCCATACTTGGAGCTCTCCAAGCTCATTGCTCAAAAGGGTCACACCGTCTCTTTCATCTCCACTCCTCGTAACATCGACCGCCTCCTTCCACGGCTGCCGGAAAATCTTCACTCCGCCATCAAATTCGTCAAGCTCCCTCTTTCCGGTGGCGTCGACAAAAAACTCCCGGAGGACGGCGAAGCCACCACCGACGTGCCTTTCGATCTCATACCTTACTTAAAAATCGCCTTCGACGGATTGCGAATCCCGGTGACGGAGTTTCTAGAATCCTCGAAACCCGATTGGATCCTACAAGATTTCGCGGCGTATTGGCTTCCTCCGATCTCTCGCCGCCTCGGGATTAAAACCGGATTCTTCAGCGCTTTCAACGGCGCGACTCTCGGGATTCTGAAACCGCCGGGATTCGATGAGTACCGTACTTCTCCGGCGGATTTCATGACGCCGCCTAAATGGGTCCCGTTCGAAACTCCGGTGGCTTTTAAGCTGTTCGAGTGCCGGTACATTTTCAAAGGGTTTATGGCGGAGACAACGGAAGGCAATGTCCCCGACGTCCACCGTGTCGCCGGAGTAATCGACGGTTGTGACGTCATCGCCGTGAGGAGCTGTTACGAGTACGAAGCTGAGTGGTTGGGACTTATACAGGATCTTCACCGGAAACCGGTTATTCCGGTGGGAGTTTTACCTCCGAAGACGGAAGAGAAGTACGATGATACCGACACGTGGCTGTCTATCAAAGCTTGGTTGGACTCGCGGAAAAGCAAGTCCGTAGTTTACGTAGCTTTCGGTTCAGAAGCTAAACCGAACCAGACGGAGCTAAACGCGATCGCTTTCGGTTTAGAGCTTTCCGGTTTACCTTTCTTCTGGGTGTTAAAGACTCGACGCGGTCCGTGGGATACCGAACCGGTCGAGCTTCCTGAAGGATTCGAAGAGAGGACGAAGGAGAGAGGGATGGTGTGGAGAGGTTGGGTTGAGCAATTGAGAACATTGAGCCACGATTCGATCGGTTTGGTTCTAACTCATCCCGGTTGGGGAACAATAATCGAAGCTGTCCGGTTTGCTAAACCGATGGCGATGTTGGTTTTTGTATACGACCAAGGATTGAACGCGAGAGTAATTGAGGAGAAGAAAATCGGGTATATGATCCCTCGGGATGAGACGGAAGGTTTCTTTACTAAAGAAAGTGTGGCCAAGTCGTTGAGATTGGTAATGGAGGAAGAAGAAGGGAAAGTTTATAGAGAGAATGTGAAGGAGATGAAAAGAGTGTTTGGTGACATGGATAGGCAAGATCGTTATGTCGATTCTTTCTTAAATTATCTCGTTACTAATCGTTAAACTTTGACAATTAATTACCTTGGAAAATGTTTCCCTAAACCTCGCTGTCTTTGACTGTAGCGTTCGCGTTTGTAAAGCCAAATCGCAATTTATTATTGCCAATTTTCCGTTTTCAAAACATTCATTAAAACGCACTGATAATAAAATCAAGCGAAAATTACGCGTTATGGGCAAAATCGTAGTTTTTACTATAGACAAATCTGGTTCTTATTAGCGTTTGCCGTTCCCGCTTCTTCACCGTGATTTGTGGGGAAGAAAAAGAAAACACTTTAAGCGTTCTGCTAACTTGCGCCGCCATGAATAACCGCCGTGGAGTAGCCGCCGTGTCGAACCAGAATCGACGGTCGCAACAGCGTCCGGTGATTCACGTGTTACAGGGCGAGACGGCTTTACGAGTTGTCTGCCACGCGTCAGTAATCGGTGGCATAATCGGAGCAAACGGCTGTATAGTATCCAAGCTCCGGCGAGAGACCGGTACTAAAATCCACTGCGAGACTCCGGTGAACGGGTCCGATCACTGGGTAGTATTCATCGTCGGGTCAAAGGCCGTTGACAAAAGCATTCTATTGACTGATAGAGTCGGAGATTTCTCCGGCGGTGAACACGACGATTGGGTGACTTGTGAGGTTTCCGCTGCTCAGACGGCGCTGATTAGGGTTTTGGAGAGATCTTGGGCGGTTTTGGCGGCGAAAGATAGCGGCGGAGTCGTCGTCGATGATGGTAAAGAAGCTTATTGTGGGATTCTTGCTAATAAGAATCAGATTGGAGCCGTTTTGGGGCTTGGAGGGAAGAATGTGGAGTGGATGCGGAGAAATTCCGGTGCCATGATTAGGGTTTTGCCTCCTCCGGTTTGTGGCACTAACACTGATGAGCTGATTCAGGTAAAGTTTTCATCTTTTGCAATCAATTGCTTTGAAAAGAAGAAAAAAAAAACAAAACTTTAATAAAGTCTTTAGTGTTTCACCATTTCAGTCAACTGTTCTTCCAAGTTTGGATTTTTATTTATAATTATTCTGCATATTAACCTAAAGTTGATAACTTTTTGTTGTTTTGATTTGTGAATGGCTCTTTTATTTCTGTACAAAGATTACGGGAGAAGTCTTGGCTGTGAAGAAGGCACTGGTTATGGTATCAACTTTTCTTCAAAATTGTCCACCTCTCAATGGCTATCCACCGCCACTTTGCAGCAAAGCCAATGGAAACTCAGAGGATCCTCATTCGGAGTTTTTCCCGGAACTGCGTTCTTCTTCGTTGCCTAATGCTTCAGAAACCGCTGCATCCAACAGACGTTACTTACCATCACGGTATGAAGAAGGAAACGGTTTTCAGGATTCAAAAGAAACAGAAGGGAAGGTCGTGTTTAAACTAATCTGCACAAGTTTAGCAGCTGGAGGCATAATTGGGAAACAAGGCTCTAATATCAGAGCTCTGCAGAATGAAACTGGTGCTTCGATTTCGATCGGAGCTCCTTTGAAAGAATCCGGTGAACAAGTTGCTACCATTTCCGCACGCGAGGTAGGTTTTATTTTCTTGCTCGATGTTTACATTTGTTTAACCGAGTTTCTTTGTTGATGTAGTCACTTTCACTTTGTTTTGTTTTTTCTTTTTAGAATCTAGAGTCACGGTACTCTCATGCACAAAAAGCTCTGGCTCTTGTATATGCAAGATCTGCTGAGATTGATGTTGGGAAAGGTCTGCATCAGGGACTGCATTGTGCTTTGGTGAAAGCGAAGCTATTGGTACCATCACAGTTTGCTATTGACTTAATTGGAAACAGAGAAGCAAACATAGCAACTGGTGACAATGTACACATTTCAGTAGGTGACCAGATGCTGGACTGTATTTCAGAAAATGAAATGCTGATAGAGGTAAAGCGCGTGTTTCTTGTAATCAGTATAAAGCTTTTGTGTCCTTATAGATTGAGAAAATACTAACCGAGATTTGCTCATTGTTTTTTAGATTATGGGAGAGTATAGGCATGTACTGAAGGCGTTGACTCACGTTTCTTCTAAATTACGGGGTAACCTATTTCCAAAGAAGGTTTTAGAAGAAATGAGAGCTAGAGTTAGTAATCCATATGAAAGTGAAGCAGCTAAGTATAATCTGCAACCATCACAACAAGTAAGTGTGTTTCTTTCCCCTAAGCCAGAGTTTTCTTGACTGTCTCTTCTTTCATTTATGGAGAGGTTGATTGCTTCCATTTAAGAACCATGGTGGTTCAACAAAACCGCAGAACGCAGGCAGAGGTGATTCTCTCTCGGTATCAGATGGTGAACGAGAAGTAATGAAGTCGATTGATTATCTAATGCACAATGAGGTTCTTAAAGACGCCAACGGAGTCAACGGCTTGCTAGACAATGACTTGACACAGGGAATGAAACAGCTTCAACTTTCTAGCAATGGAGACGTCTCTTCTTTACCACCAAGGTCCGTTCTTCCCAGCGACAATACAATCCATTCTGCTAACAATCTCGTGGCATAAAACAGTGTATTTCTTTTTTCTTTTGGAAGCAGAAGTAAAGGTATATCTTTGAGAAAAGTTACATTGGATCTAGCTATCGAGAAAGATGCACTTGCTGCACTCTATGGCAGAGATGGAGCCGGTCTAGATAATCTAGCACAGGTAATGTCTTCTGTTCTTGAACCATATTAGATTCTAGACAAAAGAAGAGGCAAATGTAGCTGATAAGTTGTAACTACAGATTTCAGGAGCCAAAGTGGATGTCAAGGATCCTACAGAAGCTGAAGCTACGGTCTTACTCTCTGGGATTCCTGAACAAACCCGCACAGCTATGTCTTTGATCCTGTCTATCCTTGCTGATCAATGATAGAAGAAAATGGATGATCTCCTGCTATTGTGGCGTTTTGCAGCCTACTTTTGTAAAAATGGAGATCACTTGTGTTTACTTTTTGGCAACTTATCTTTTGCAGCCTACTTTTGTAAAAAAAATTGTTTTTCTTGTTTTGGAAACTAGCAGCTGTCAGAATCAAGAAAGTGCAGTTTTTTGTTTTGTTTGATCTCATCTGCTTCAAAGCTTGTATCTAGAAGAACACAACATTGCACTGTGTAAAAGCAGTTTTCTGGATGCTTATGGGTTAATATACCGGTTCATGTTATCATCACCAACCGGTTGGAGCTTTTCGGTTTTTTTTTTTAATTTTTAATACGGGGACTAAGCATTCGGACTAAGCCCATAGCGTAGGCCCATCATTAACGGTACACATAATTCTTAACGGTCGTCTCAGATAGATTCGAATTTTAAAACACTGAACGCAGAAAAGGAAAAGAAATATCCTTCTCCGGTCACGCCTTTCTTCTTTATCTCTCTATCTTTCTACTTTGCATTTTGATTGATTTTCGAAGAGTGAGAGAGAGAGAGAACGGAACCGAGAGAAACAATTTGCATTTCGGATTTGTGTTCTGGATTTACGAGAAACGCCTTCAATGGAAGATGTTCAGATCGGCTCTACTGTTTCTGTTCCGGTGGATTCAATAATGACCTCATCTGATTCACCGGAGATTTCTACTTCCCAGTTCGTTATTGATGAAAAAGAGAAATTAGAGATTGGAGATACCTCTGTGGATCAGTGTGGAGATTCTATGGCGGATTCAATGGTGTGTGACCCTAATTCAAGGCTCGTGCCCACTGGTTTCACAAGAGCTAATCGCCCAGGTTAGATCCTCTATCAATTTCAATTTTTATATTCTCGAGTTGTTTATTCCCCCTTGATCTTGGGCTTTCTGCTGCATTTCCTTTTCGATTACTTGTTAAATCCCTTGGGTTTTTGTTGTGCGTTTTGCTTAATTTCCACAGAATCGAGCCTTATACATCTGGAAATCACTCACTATATCTTAGAATTGTTCTGTTTATGTTCGATTCTACACTATAATCGAAGATTTCACACTCACCCACTGCATTTGATTGATTGTAGAGAATAGAAATAGGTTTCTCTACTAATTTAGTGAACCCAAAAGACTTCAATTAAGCTTGTGTATTGAGGGATTCTTTTGTTGTTTGTGGTAGCAGATGAGATCATCATGTTCATAAATGCTGGAGGAGTTGATTCAAAGGAATTAGATTCTGAATTGAATATCCTCAGAGACACCTATTTCGAAGGAGGGGATGTGCTGAGAACTGCTGAGTTTATAGCTGAAGCTGGAGATTACCCATTCATTTACCAGTCAGCTCGTGTAGGGAACTTTTGTTACCGGTTAGACAATCTTCCTCCAGGAGAATACTTCATCGATTTTCATTTCTCAGAGATTATTAATACCAATGGACCTAAAGGGATAAGGGTGTTCAATGTCTATGTTCAAGATGAGAAGGCAAGTAGACCAACTGAATATTGTGTTTCCATGTAGTTATGAGTAAGAGTTTGCGTAATGCTGAATAAGTGTTTTTTTTTTGTTTATGTTCAGGTCTTATCTGAATTCGATATCTTCTCGGTGGTTGGCGCAAACAGGCCACTCTTGTTGGTTGACGTAAGGGTCATGGTAATGGATGATAGATTGGTTAGAGTGAGGTTCGAAGGAATAAATGGAAGTCCAGTGGTTAGTGGGATTTGTCTGAGGAAAGCACCACAGGTTTCAGGTAATGTTGTGCTTTGGTTTTATTTAAGGTTTTAGCCTATTAAGGGAATCTCAAAGTTCTCATTCTTCATTCATTCATTGCATTACTGTACAGTTCTGAAGACATCACAAGATTACATTAAGTGTGAGAATTGTGCTGCTGAAATAGAGATTTCTGCAAATCAGGTACTGTTTAATTAGCTTGCTGGCTCTAATCATTTAAAAATATAAGCGTAATGGATTACCTGAATTTCTTCTTTTTATATTGATATTCTGCGAGCAGAAGAGGCTTATGCGAGCCAAAGCTCATGAAAAGTATGAGAAGAAGATAGCAGAACTTTCTGAACGATGCCAACATAAGACAAACGAGTGCCACGAAGCATGGATGTCACTGACCTCTGCTAATGAGCAACTAGAGAAAGTGATGATGGAACTTGACAATAAGATGTTCGAGGCACGATCTCTAGGTAATTTCAAACTTAACATATCTGATATATGGGTGAAAGTAAGAGAATTCCCATCATTGTCAGTCCAAGTTTGTTACTTATATATATATTTTTTGGCGGAGTTTTTCTTGCTTTTGATTCGGTGTTCACCTGAAACAGACCAAACTGTGGCAGCGCAAGCTGATTCTTTGAAGAGTGTCACCAGCAAATATGAGAATGACAAGAGACATTGGGCATCTGCAATTGCTACTCTACAGGAGAAAATAGAGGTAGCTGGATGTTTCCTCAAGTACATATTTTTCATAGCCTCTCTGCAGCTTACATATTTTTTCAAATATTTTTTTAGTATTTTGGAAACTGTTGTTATGCAGATAATGAAAAGGGAACAATCTCAGCTATCTCAGGACGCACATGAATGCGTTGAATCAATTCCTGAATTGTACAAAATGGTTGATGGAGTTCAGGCACTTGGTGAGTAGTTACTTCTTTTAGTTAGTCCTGAAGAAGGAAATTTCGTAAACTAATACCATTATCAACACGTAAAACAGTTTCACAGTGTGAGGATCTCAAGCAGAAGTACAGTGAAGAGCAAGCGAAGCGGAAGGAGCTATATAACTATATTCAGGAGACAAAAGGTAATGAGCTTTTTTAAAAATCTTTTCCTGATGTTTGCCTTCGCTTCTTGGCATCTCACTTTACACCTATACAGATTACTGACAGCATCCCTTATATTCAGGCAATATTAGGGTCTTTTGTCGTTGCCGCCCTTTGAATAAGGAAGAGACGTCAACAAGGTGTGCCACAACTGTTGACTTTGAAGGAGCAAAAGATGGAGAGCTTGGTGTCATTACAGGGAATAATTCTAAGAAAAGTTTCAAGTTTGACAGAGTTTATACACCAAAAGATGGTCAAGGTAGTGTGATTTGTCATGGTCAACTTAGATCATTAAGTATAATTAACATTGAATGCTAACAAATTTTCTTCTTGATCCTGCAGTTGATGTCTTTGCGGATGCTTCTCCAATGGTTGTTTCAGTCCTAGACGGCTACAATGTGTGTATCTTTGCATACGGGCAAACAGGAACAGGAAAGACGTTTACAATGGAAGGTACTCCACAGAACAGAGGTGTCAACTATAGAACCGTAGAGCAATTATTTGAAGTTGCTAGAGAAAGGAGAGAGACAATTTCATATGATATATCGGTTAGTGTCCTTGAGGTCTACAATGAACAGATAAGAGACTTGTTGGCAACCTCACCAGCCTCAAAGAAGTAAGAAACTCTAGTTTAATCAACTCTTAAAACACATATGGGTTGCAACAGAATTTTTTCACAGAGCTCCTAATCTCAATCTATTTGGATTTTGATACTAAGGTTGGAGATAAAACAATCTGCTGAGGGATGCCATCATGTTCCTGGATTAGTAGAAGCAAAAGTGGAAAACATAAATGAAGTGTGGAATGTGCTTCAAGCTGGAAGCAATGCAAGAGCTGTTGGATCCAATAATGTGAATGAACATAGTAGCCGATCTCACTGGTATGTCGGACATATGTCTCTCTCATTTTGATGTTTGAATGTTTGGCGTTCCCTCATTTTATGTTTCTCTTTGCAGCATGCTCTCTATTATGGTGAAAGCTAAGAATCTGATGAATGGTGATTGCACAAAAAGCAAGCTTTGGCTAGTAGATTTAGCGGGAAGTGAGAGGTTGGCAAAGACTGACGTGCAAGGTGAGCGTCTGAAGGAAGCACAGAACATCAACAGATCGCTTTCAGCTCTTGGGGATGTGATTTATGCTTTGGCAACAAAGAGTAGTCACATTCCATACAGGTTAGTCTAATCCTCAAATCCTTGACCTAAGTGTCTCTCTCTCTCTCTCTCCGGATACTGTTTTAACACTTTTCCAATTATTAACTATCAGGAACTCAAAATTAACACACTTGCTTCAAGATTCACTGGGTAAGAATCTTCATAGCCTCTTTCCTTAAGGATCAATCCGTGGCTACAGTGTGCTTTTGGTAAACTGGTGTGTTTGTGCAAATGATGCAGGAGGTGACTCAAAGACTCTGATGTTTGTGCAAATCAGTCCCTCTGAGCATGATGTGAGTGAGACTCTAAGTTCACTTAACTTTGCAACTCGTGTAAGAGGGGTTGAGTTGGGTCCTGCGAGAAAGCAAGTTGATACCGGTGAGATTCAGAAGCTGAAAGGAATGGTATGACTCCTGCATGCTTTTATTGGCTTCCTGGATTTGTCTTTTTGGATTGTGTCTCATTGCTTCATGTATAACTTATAAAGGTGGACAAAGCACGACAAGATAGTCGATCTAAAGATGAGGTTATAAAGAAACTTGAAGAGGACATACAGAACTTGGAGGGTAAGAACAAAGGACGAGACCACTCATACAGAAGTCTTCAGGAAAAGTACAAAGAACTTGAAAGCCAACTTGAGTCAATGCATAACCAATCGGAAAAGCAAAACGCACATCTGCTAGAAAAATTAAGGAGCAGAGATGAGACTTGTAGCAATCTCCAACACAAGGTTTTCTTTTTTTCCAATATTGGTTTATATAATGTTTTGTTGAGGGTCAAGAGTTACAAAACTTCTTAAAATGGTCCATGCAGGTTAAGGAACTTGAGAATAAGTTGAAAGAATCTGAAGGAGCCAACTCGCTTATGTTGCAACAAAAGATTAAAGGTTTTGAGAATAAGTTGAAAGAATCTGAAGCGAACTCTCTTGTGTGGCAACAGAAGGTTAGGAGGAAGACTGATTCTATCTCAAACTTGCCATCTTATTTTGTAAAAATTCTTACCATCTCGGCTCTTGTGTTTGATATGGTTTCCTCAGATGAAAGAGTTGGAGAGGAAGCATAAAGAAGAGCAAAGCCAAGAAGCAGTGTTACTACGACATAAGGTTAGTTTCATTGGATTGTCTCGGGATTTTCGAGCTTTATCACTAGATGCGTGAAAAGATTTTGGTCTTTTTACTTCTTTCGCAGATTAAAGAACTTGAAGTGAGGCTAAAGGAGCAAGATCTGCATATACAACAAATGGCAGCAACTAGAGAATTCCCCGATGTTGCAAACGCTACTCCTAACGAAGTGAAAACTTGCTTCAAAGACGATAACTTTGGCAATGAGAACGCGGAATCCAACAACAACAACATCTTAAGAACATCAAACCGTCTCAAGACAAGTACGAGGAGAAACGATTCTTTAAATCTCAATGAGATGACTAGGAAGAAGAGGATCTCGAGAAGCGGCGAAACAGAGAACAATAATGATGATCCACATATGAAGGAGAAACGGATCAGGAAATCAGACCCACCAAAAGTTGTTGCCAGGTTAACCAGACCAACAAGACCAGCCTCTGGTTCGTCGAACCAAGTACCTGTGGCTCAGAAGAAGGTTATTAAGAGAGAACAACAAGCTCCGGTTGGGAAAGAGAGAGACTCCACGAAGAAGATTTGGTCAAGATAGTTAGATATATCTAAAAAGCATAGAGAAACTCTAAATCTCTTGTGATTTCTCTCTCTATATGTTACATGGTTACATTTTGGTAACGGTAATGTAACAATTACATTGATGGGTTCTTCAGACTTTTATGAAACAATTTAAGTAAAAACAGGTTTATGTCTCTAAAACTATGTATTTTATTTTATGCCAAGGTAGAATTTAAAATATATCCATAAGTGGAGTTCCCTAGATCCTAGCAAAGAGCAAATGATACATATGTAGACTATAGAGTCCATAATGAGTAGCTTGTAGGTGAAGAAGAAAGGCACATCTCGGTGATATGTAGGACCGGCTAAATAGTAATAATGAAAATATTTATAGGTCCTAATTATATGTTAGATTTTGTATTTTATCTATTTTAATAAAATATTTGTTAGCTTGTTTCATTTTTCTACTAAACTGAAATGCACAATTTGATTTTAAGTAGAAAAAATATATTTTGTAAAATGCATAAATCATATAAACATTAATACATTTGGTTTTATTATATTCACACCCCCCCCCAATGATATTACATTCGAATGAATAAACACCAATTCTTCTAGCTAGAAAATAAAAAACAAAACAAATATAAATTTCCCTCTACAGTAAATTTTCTTTTCACTCTACCTGATTTTTTTTTTCTTTAATCAAGTTCTGGAAGGACCTTCAAGACGAATATAATCATACATAACACCTTGAAACGGTCCTAGACTTCTCGTTTGAGTTAAATATATCGTATTATCACCAACACTTAGTAAATTTCCACCAACATCGATACTATACAGTCTATATAACCCATGAATCCCATGTCTCGCAATCGCATTGTCTTTTCCGATATATCCGGTCGTGAAAATATGATCGGATTTTGGATTGTTAATACGAACTTGTAATTCGGAATCAGCAGCTGAGGCTAGAGCTATTCGGAGTGTGTAGAGTCTGACACGGTTCACGTTTTTGAGGTTAAATATGATTTGCCATGTTGTCGCTTGGTATGTATTGTTTCCTACGTTTCTATATTAATGGTTACAAGTAAAGTTGATTAGATAGAGAATTTGTAATATATCAACATTAAAATAGAATAATGATAGTACAGTATGTGTATTTACCTGGTGACATGTGCAAAAAACCAATCTCTTCTATAATCACTTACACCGATTGTGTAGACAAGATCGTTTTGAGGGTATAAATCTGCATAACGATCCCATAATCCATATTGCCTAAATCTGCAATAGATAAATTTGATTCATGTGCTTGTAATTAGGAGTGATAAATTATATTGGGTCAGATTAAAAATGTAAAAGAAAAATAAACCCAAACCATAACCAAGATCAAAACTAGATATGGAATCAGTTAATATTTAGTCTCAATTTATGTTCTTATATATTTTTATTTTTTTTAACTATTGGAATGAGACATTTTACTGGTTCTTGGTTAATCTACTAATTAAAGATACTTATCGATAAGAAGATTATAATACTAACCTGTCTTGAAGTGGGTTAACATAGAGCTTATTCATAAGTGTAGGGTAAGGATCCGGTATATAGAATTCTCCGGCGGTTCGATCCGGTACACCAATTTCCCACAACGTTGGACCGTTTCTCGGCGGTTCATACACTATTTGCCCTACATTCATCTTGCTACCTGCGTTTACGTTTGCGTTTATGTATATATGTTATGGTAGTTAGAATACAATGTTCAGTATAGAAACATAACGCAAACAAACAATCATATTTAAACGGGCATGCAATGTGTCCACACAAAATGATGTACTACTATAATTGTATACCTAATTAATAGATTGATTCGATGCACCTCTTTTACATATATGCAAACAAAATGCGTGATATTATAAAAAGATCCCTTTGAATTGAAGGTATAATGAAGCATGCTTCTCTAAGCTATGATCAAATATGGCTTATAATGGATAAATTATACGTATATATGGTATATGTATGTACCTGGCGTGATGGTGATGTTTTGCTCATATTTATAGTCACCGATAAAACCAAAACCCCATGCGTAGAGACTATAATTGCCTGCCCTCACATTCTCTATTATGAATCTCCCTTTTCTGTCAGCTTTCGTCCAAAATTGATACCCCTTTTTGTTCAAACAAAATACAAATCTTTGAAAAATAATATACACTTATATAGCATAACGAAAAGGATATGCATTTGTATAAAGTAAGACTATTATTTTATTATTTTTACTATACCTTGGATTCTGTTTGCCACGAACCAGCTTCACCAATTGGTGCCAAACCAACAAAAGCAAATTTTCCATATATTCTTAACCTTGATACGTAACTACAATCCAAAGAAAAATAAGATTCAAACATTTTGGTAAAAGTAGTTGTTAATTTTAAAGAGAAAAACAGGGATATTTATTTACCTGTCTTTGATGTAGAATTGACCTTGGATTGTTCCTCTTTGATGAGAAAGAGGATAGTCTTCTGATTTAACAAACTCATAAGGCCAGCTTTTGACCTCTGCAGCCATCTGCAACAAAAAAAAGTTATTAAAATTAGGAACTACACAATTATATTTTAAATTTATAAACTAATGACAATAATGAAACGACAAAAGAACCTGTCGTTTGGCATCTCTCCAGAGACGAAGAGTGGAGTCTTTGGGAGAGACAGAGTTGAGATAAGCAAAGACAGGTCCAAAAACCTTCTTCCATGGTTCTCCATTTCGATAATCCATTCTCATCTCTTTCCCCGCGTAATGCGTGCTCGTAAACATCTACAAAATATTTTCAATTTCAAATAATTAGATTTATTATGTTAAAATGTATACAAAAATACAATCAAACTATAGACGCAATAACCTCAAAAAAAAATGTCAAAGGTATTTAAATGATAGCAAAATAGTGGAATTGTTTCTAAAGAATATTTTCATTATAATGACAATATAGCAAATAAATGAAATTATAGTTCCAACAGTAAAATTGAGTAGTCCAAAAGGTATATAGCTTAAGTGTCGCTTGATTAGCACTTAAACTAAATTAGCAATCAAAAACTAATTACACTTATCATGAGGATTAGATTTGTAGTTACAAAATGGACTCAAAGAAGAAGGAGAGTAAATGGACTCACGGAGAGGGTGATGGGACCCGCGTGAGAGGTGAGGTCTTGCTTGATGGGCCCACCAAGACGGAACTCATCGCTTGGAGTGATCATCCAAAACCCAACCGGTGGGTCCGACGAGATCCAACCATGAACGTTGTTGTCTTTGTCTTCCATTGAGTACATATACTTATCGTCTACCTGCGCGTCACATACCATTTCATGTAACAATCAATCAGTACCTATTTTAGTACTTCTTTTTATATAAAGAGCTAGAGTATATTGAAAAAGTATATAATATATACCTCTCCTTTGAACATAGGGTTGCTTGGATTTGTCAAAAGAACAGCTTCTTTGTAAGCTAATTCCTTAGCATTGTTCCTATCTGCCATCGATGGCATGCTTCTCTGCCGATCATCAGATATGGCCATGAAATCAAATCTGTAATTTGCTCCCAAACAAAAAAAAAAAAATCATTTTTAAAAATTTAAATCGAAAACAATTTGCTGAATAACGAAATTTAAATTAGAATTTTAAGTATAAATATAATTAATTAATAAAACGTTATAGTTACTTTTTGGGGTTGAGCTTGAAGACGATTCTAATTTGGTCCATGTCCACGTCTGGCCAACCTTCCAACCTCTCCAATATACCGTACATGTATATTCCCGAGACACCACTTCTAATAATGTACCTTTAAGAAAAAATTAAATTCGATATTTTTTTTTACAAAACAAAATATATATATATATATATGTATATATACATTCGATAATAACTTTGTACTTTGGAATCAAGATTACATTAATATCTTTTATTTTTTCATAAAGAGATATATAAATCTCTTTTAACAATGGACTAAGTACCTTTTATCTACGTTTAGAGGTGCCAAGGAGCCACGTTTGGAGATCGTCCACGTCCTGGTAAATGAAATTTCAACTTGTTCTTCGTTCTGAGTTATGATTTCAAATTTGGTTCCTTCTAATCTACAAAATACACACACACAAGAAGAAGAAACAATGTTATTTTATCGAATTATTATATCATATACTCCTATTGTTATATATATTGAATAAGAATATTCTTTATGTATACCCTACTTTGTATCATTGTAGGCAGCAAAATCGAAATAAATATATACCTCCAAAGCGTAATTAAAACGACTGCAATAAAAATAAAGTAAAATAAAAAAGGCTGCAATAAACTCACTTATCAGTTTCACCTTTCTTTCCCGGCTCATACCAGACTACGTCCCAATACCTATTTCCATAAGGATTCATCCAAGAAATGCAGTAAGACTTTTGTTTTTCTAATATAACATCTTCTAAACAAATGTATAAAAAGTTGTGTTAAAAAAATCTTACCCACGATCGTCAATTTCGTCGTCCAATACGTTATCGATGCCATTGTATTTTATTCCAGTTATCAAACCTTGTGGGCTCGAGAAAGTTACTTGGATAATACCATTATCAACTACCACCTGAAAACCAACAAAATTCTTATTATATTATAATTAAAAAAAAACAAAAAAGAATTAAAAATTAAAAATTAAAAATTAAAAACTAAAATACTTTTTATACCTTATCATGACTAACTTTTCTTAGCTGAACTATTGGGGCTGGTATGGTTTGGCCAGGCTTTGTGATGTTAAGTTTGTTTCTGTAAATTTTACCAAAAAAAGATCGATAAAATAAATCCGAGCTAGAAGCTTTAAGTATATTTGGATTATTATAGCATGCGTTTGATTCATTATTTTATTTAAGAAAAAACAATGTCAATCTTCTTGTTAAAAAGTTCAGAAAACTCAATTAATTTTTTAACTAGATTTAAACTCATGCATCTGCACGAAAAAATTATATTTTTAATCTAATTTATAACATAACTTATATTTTTATAGATAATGTGATTTTGATAAGTAGTATATTTATTTTTATGTTTAGATAAATGTTTTTCTATTTACATTTTCTATTAAATTTGATTATAGTTATAAAAATATAATTTTAACCCGACCGTTTTATTAATCCGTAAAAGAATACAATTCTAAAAACATAACTCTAACCCGTCTATTCATATTACCATATAATATAAATATTTACTAATTTTAAATATTTAAATTTTTAGATTGAGTGATTATTTTAAAAACTATATATACATATTGTTTATCATTTATGTTATTATGAAAATTTTATTTAAATTTGAATATTTAAATATTAACATAATATCCTATTTACTATTTTATAAAGATGATAACAACTAATTTTTGTAATTTTTATAATTAATGTAATCTATATTTAAGAAATTCTAAACTAACTGAAATTTAAATTTAAAATTTTCGGAATTATTTTTAAATATAAATTAAATAAAATTTATTTTATTTTTTAGAAATAATTAAAATATAAAATTAAATGAAAAATTTGTTTGGCACCAGAAAGAACAAATATTCAAAAGTAGAATAGTAGAAAACCAAACAAAAATCTGTTTGGACACAAAACACCCTTCTCTTTAGTACAGATATTAAAAATGAAAAATTATCGATCCAAAAGTTCTTGGGTCTACTAATTAGAATCGATGATACATGAAAAATTATTTGTTTTCGTTTAATATTAAAAACTTCAACTGTGTTAGTTATAGTGTAGTACGAACTCCACTCGAATATGAACGGTCAACATTAATTGACGAGTGTTTAAGACGAAAAGAATAATTCCAAGGGAGGGAACAAAAAATATACATATGGTACGAAAAGGCAAAAAGAACATAAATTATTATTTGTACCAAATATAATTAGTTTTGAAAAGCAAAAAAATACAGACCATATATATTTAGTTTTATGTGTGACAACTGAGAAGAAGACTAGTAGTTAAGAAAAAAAAGACATGTAGGTTTAGAGCCGAAAGGGAAAAGCAATCCAATATATTCTAAGGTTTTTGTAATTAAAATAAAAGGAAACGAAGGTGCTTGACCAAAAAAAAAAAAGGAAACGAAGGTGTAAGGAAATTTTGTTCCAGCTTTTTTCCTTTTTTGTCAAAAAAAAACATATTCCAACTTTGAAAGATTTATGAGACCAATTCCTTAAAACAAATATTCTTTGTTTCTTTTTGTCGTTTAATTAACGTTAATCGTAACTTTTTAACACACATCTCGTGACCACTCGGTTTCGAGATTCTCGACTTTATATATTTTACGTTTAAAATTTGATATGTGGTATAGGTAATGTGGTATATGTATGTATAATGTGTTTTATTCGTCTGATAATATATATATATATATATATACGCAAATTAAAGAAAGTTGTTAAGGAATGTCATTACCGGAAGCTTCAATTATGTTTTTCTAAACCACTTGTATAGTCAAGGAATCCAACACCAAATAAATTAACAAAAATAACTACTCTAATAACCTAGAAAATTTTACTAAAGGGATGGAATCAAGGAAACCTTTGCATTATTGAGCATTGGCTAAAACTACGGCTAAACATTTTTACCAGGAAAGAAAAGTAAGGCTAAACATTTTCTTTTAAGACTTGCCATTTTAGATTTATATAATTTCTTCATGAACTAAAATAATTAAATAAAAAAAAACAGAAACAGGTAAACTACAATATAATGGCGACAAACAAAATTAATTACAAAATAGTAAACATCAGTTTCTGATGAAAAAAGTTAAGAACCTCTGTTTCAGTAAGTTCAACATGTGAACATGGAAATTAAAAGCTTGTGAAACCAATTTTTGCATTTATGAAGAAAGAAAAAAAACAAAAAAAAAAAGTTAAAAAAAGGAGACTAATACAAAAAAAAAACCGACCCGGCCGGTTTGAATAAAAATCTCTCACTAAAATACAGAGTTTGGGTTAAGAGAAAAACATACTGTGATTTCTGAGAATGAACACTTTGAAGAAGAAGATGCAGAACAAGAATTTGGACGATGACCCGACCCGGCTTATTTTTCGGAGCTCCGACTTTCATCTCCGCCACAATTCACTAAACTTCCGACATATAAACCAACCGTTTAGGCAGAGATACGTATATAAACACACAAATACGTGTTTGTGTATATATAGACAAGAATTAAGAAACCTTTTTTCAAGGATTAACTAAAAATGGGTAAAATAAAAACAAGAAAAATGAAGTAATCTAAGTGCCTTTTGAGTTTCTTCTGTGTTGGGTTTCTGGGAAGATAAAGTTTGAGGAATGCACAAGAAGAAAGAAAGGCTTTCCTATGAAGAAGGTAATCTCTCTTTTGTTCAAAAAAAAAAATCTCTCTTTTGTTCAAAAAAAAAAAAACAAGAAGGTAATCTCTCTCTCTCTCTTCTCTATTTCTCTGAAATTCACTGATTATTCTTTTTTAGTTCTCACAATAAGCATAGGATTAGAATCTTAAGTAGCTTTATAAATCTTCAGAATCTACATTTAGAGGTGGGGAGGTGTACATATATATATGTGTGTGTGTATACATATACGTGTATAGTATATGTAAATGTTGCATATCTAAATGTGTCTGCGTACGCAATTGAACTAGGCCATCTTAATGTTGCAGGTGTGACTTTTTGTTGCCTAACCTTTTCATCTTTCTTTAAAAAAACAAATTAAGAAGAAAATTAAAATTCCAAAAAAAAGAGAGAGAAATATCATAGTCTTTGACTTAAAAAATATTTTACCACAAGTAGTTTTTTTGGTAAAAAATATTATATGTATTCCAACTACTACATTCATGACATAACTATACAAATGTATGTTCTAGGATTATCAACATTACGTAACATTAATGTAGACAAACAGAAATTAGAAACACTCAAGGAAGAAAAAAAAACCGACAAAGTGGTAATGAAACAGAAACATGTCTAAAATTTGGAAAGGAAATAACTTAAAATAATGAATATATGAACTTGTAAGAACTTTAAACCATTTTAGTGATATTTATTATTAATTATAAAGGCTGTATTGTACTCTTTCTGTTCATAATTATTTAATGTTTAAAGTTTTTGCTAGATTAATAATTTATTTAATTTTTATTTTTTTACACTAAAACATTATTTATAATTCATTTAAATATTATTCAGTCAATAAAATGATAATCTGCAGAATATAAAAGATAAAACAATAAAAATTTATTAAATTTTATATTAAAAATAAAAACATCAAATAATTCTGAACAAAAGTAACCTATTAAAACATCAAATAATTCTGAACAGATTGAGTATTTATTTGCTATTATGTATTAGTATTCTCATTAGTAATGAAAATCAGAAATATTCCTTCAAAAGAGAATTTTAAAAATTTGTCTCATCGGAAAATGGAATGGAAACACATTCCTATATGAGAAAGCAGAACTTTTGTCCATCCCTAATTGACAAGTACCACTCCATAATATTTACATTCATATAAGTTCATGTCGAAATTGTAATACAAAGAAGAAAAAAACTTTAGCCTTACCACATTGTCCCATGCGCAAAAAGTTTCTGCTACTTCTGGTAAGCTAAAATATGCTATCGCCATTTTATGAAGTAATGAACTTGTTGAATCAAGTTTCACATAGAATGTTTTAGCATTTCAATTATGCCATTACCAAAAAAAATATATATATACAGAGAAATTTGCAGAAAATGTCACTTATTCAATTTTCCTTAGTTTCCTAACACAATTTTCAATTTGCAGAATGTCATTTCATTTTATTTCAGGTATTAAAAAGTTTGTCATATTTTGAATGAAATGATTCTTTATATCCATGACTCAATATTGTGTATAATATATACACATACACGTTGTAGAGATAAAATTGTCATAAATAGCATACAAATTGCTAAAAATTACTAATATTTTGAAATTGTGAAATAAGAAAGTTAAGAAAGAAGTGACTACTACAAACTCCCATAATTATAACATCTAAATTTTAAATTTCGTTGGTAAACTCTACGAATTTGTAAGGAGAGACTTTTTACCCCTGGAAAAGAGAAAAATATCAAAATATCATATTTATATACATACAACATGATATATACAGTATATTGTATAGACTTATTTTTCATTGATACATCCTATGCAAAAATGCGAATATATGTGAAATAACTGCCAAACTTACGTCATAAAAGAAACTGTTTTCTATAAGAAAATTTGACATTCGGTCAGAGTAGGGTCAACTTTACGTATCTTTGGCGAAATACCAAAAGTGGAAACATAAAAGAGTACTACTATTCAATTTCTCTATCCACGACATTCACACGTATTTATTGATATTAATTTACATACAAAACAATTTGTGACTAAATGGACGACTTCTGTGCTGAAACACTTATTTTTTAAAAAACAACACTCATTAAACTACGGTCAAAAAAAAAAAAAATCCATATTAATAAAGGATTTTATCGGGTCGTTTATTGCCTAACTCGTTGAAAATGGAAGATAAACTCTTACAACTTTTATTCTTCTTCAAGTACAACTATTTTTTTTAGAACTGTCAATCCTTCTTTTTGTAGGATTATTCCATACCATTTCTTGTTTCCGTCTTCTTCTTCGAGTACAATAAACGACCAAAATCAACAGTTTACAGGTCATAATATTCGGTCTTTTTATACCCTTTCTCAAAAAAAAAGAAAAGATTTGGTATTTTTCTATATGTTTTTGGTGGAAGAAAGTTTGGATAGTAAAATGTCTATCTTAATTAGACTTGGTTTAGTTAGTTGAAGTATCACATCAAATTATATCAAATGCAGAACTCTATAACTAGGTGATATCCGATTAAGTATTAACCATAATTTTTGGATTCGAATATGTAAATTTAAAATATATAAATAAAACTATAAAAATGTTAGCGGATATTTATAATTATAAATATATGTGCTGATTATATAATTGTAAATAATAATTAAAATTATATTTATTTTGTAATATAATTACATAAATATTAGATAATTATAGTTTTATAATTATATTTAATAGTATTTTTATATAAATAAAATTATATATTAAATATACTAAATCGGATTAGTACGTTCTATCTAATTAGTCCAACATCAGAGTAAAATAATTTGTTTTAAAATAAAAAGTTATAATTTATATGAAAAAAATTAGATTTTTTAATTATTAAATAGATAATATAATTATTTTTTAACAAAATTAAGATTATAGAAAGATGAGATAAAAAATATAATGTTTAGTAACATAAAAAATATTATGTATTAAATTTTTATAAATATGATGATAAAAAATAGAAAGAGAAAGAATATCTTTACAAATTAAATATTTGAATATTAAATATATAATTGATATAAATTAATTTCTAATTAAATTAACATTAATAATATATGTAATTAATCTAGTATGTTAGTTTACTTTCAAAAAATATCTGATAAGTTATTTGAGATTAACACCTCAATATGACAAAATTGTTAATAATATATAATATAAATATTTTTTAAGTGTTTTTTCAAATAATAATATAAAATATTTATTAATATATATATATACCAATTAAACCGAACCATATAATTTGATGCGAATAATTTATTTAAGTGTCTGATCTCAAGCAAGTAAAATAATAATAAAAAGTTAATTTAAGCGATATTTGCTGCAAATATCTCAAGAAACTATTTAGTATGGTCTCGCTAATTAGCAGATTTGGCAAGAATCTGATAATACGTTAACTCTGTTAATAGCCATTTATATAAAATATATATATATATATATATATATATATGTCGTTGTTGGATCGAAATGTTCAGTTGACAAAAAAAAAGTTGTTTCTTTTAGTTTTATAATCTACAAAGGATTTGACAGTTCTCAAGAATAGCGGGGCAAAAGAAGAAGACATATACATTATATTAAGTGCCCTTTTGCAAAGTATTTTTTATCAATGCTAACGTACTAATGAAAGTTCAAATATGTATCATTTAATGCAAAATTCTCTACTTTCTTAAGCGGTATATATTTGAAACATACCATTGCATTTTCTTTTGTCAGAGAAAACAAAAGTATCATTTTATGATTCTCTAGCGACATACAACAGCCATATATCGCTAACTTTTCACAGCAATGTGCACTATGCAGCGACATATTATGATGCTTTAGCGACAAGTAGTTATCATTTTCAGTTAGAAGACTCAGCTATAATAAATCTACAAGTTAATAGTACATAATTTAACAGAAAAAACTAACAAAGTAATGTAATTACTATATACTGAGTTCGTTCATTATTCATATGTAATCAAACTGGCCTAAATAGAATATGCTTCAGTGGAAGTACGATGACATTATACCAAAATAACGGTTTCAATTTGACTTCCACATTATTATCTACCCATCCCAAAATAGTATATTATGAAATATATAATAAGATATAAAAAAAATCGCATAATATGTTGACAATTTTTTTTAATGGTATTAGGTAATAATGAGATGATTTAACTTGAATACTTTTGATTTAGTGACGTTAGTGAGTCTAAATTTATCTGCGAACAACTTTTCGTACACAAATACAAGTATACAACGATATAGCTAACGTCATATATAACCTCGAACCATTATAAGAGAAATTATTATTATTATTATTATTATTTTATCATATAAATTAAATAAAATATGTAACGCTCGCTGTATCGAGAATTGTATTTGTGTATGTCTTTAAAATAGGTATTCGGCACCAAAAAAAACAAGTTATAAAGAGATTAAAGACATACATCATCGATAGTAATCTGTTGATTAGTTGTTAATGGAATACTCAGACGACAAAAAAAAAAGACATACATCATCGATGAAACAAATGATGGCGCATCAAACCGACCCACTATATACACAACGACACATCATTGTTAAATAAAAAATACACAAAGAAAAAAATAGACTTATGTGGCTGTAAGACAAATAGAGGTTTAGTTTAGCACAAATTTAGCAATAATAAAATCTTTTTCGTTCATATTGTTACACAATAATTTATTCTTAAAAAAAAAATATAAGCATCTAAAAACGTAAAAGATATTTATAAAATATATATATATATATATATCCCTTTTTATCTATGTATACACATTACGGATTTAAGGGTATTTTTTGTGAAAGAAAATAAAAAAATTTATGGGTATTAATATATTAATGACGGCGGAAATGCCCTACAGCTCCGTGGTTTCGTTAGTGCAAGACAAAATTTTCAAAGTAGGTTGGTTAGAATGGTGGAGAGTATTTAATTTTAAATTTTCCACTTTTGAAAAAGGAACAAATTTACATTTAATTTTCTATGTCAAAGTCAAAGTAACCGTAAGCTGCATTTTTCAACGCAACGTAAGGTTAAAGTTGTTGAAACGCATACTACTGTTTAGCCGTGTGAAATATACACATTGATTTACATCTCTATGAGAAATATTTATATATGTTTTTTATGATATAAAATTAAAGTAGACCATAGAGTTGGTTTGATATTGTTGAA